GGGGGGGGGGGGGGATGCACTCATTTTGTTGTGCCACTGATTAAATACTAATGTTTTTAATACTTACTGAGGTTAATTACTGTTGTACTATATCATGATCATGATTATTGTTATAACTAGTGGTAGTAACTTACAGGATACACACGTGCAACATGGTCACAGCAAGAAGTATTTAGTGGCAGGTGTATACATGTACTAATGTGGCTGTAATTTTTTTTCTAGGTAATCACTTTTCAAGATTCTAAGGTCATAAAAATAAAATTTGCATGCATCATAAATCTTGGTGATAGTGACATAAAATGCCTCTATTATAAAAGAGTAAAACCTTGTACTATAAGAAAATTTTCGTTGAAAAATTTGGAGCAATGTTGAATATATGCAAAATATAGTGCATTATTTGATAACCTCTCATTGTCCATGCACATAATTGAAGAAAATATTTAAAAATCAATGTCTAAAAACAGTCTCTTTATTCCCAACACTCAACACAACCAGAAAGAAAGACAGAAAGATCTCACACTTTCACATATTTATAAAATACACAGTATTTCAGGCCAATTTAAATATTAACATTAGGCATTATTTCCAAATTTTGAATAGTGCTTGCATCAATCACAAAATGTTCTCTACCATTATTTCTCAATTAATTGAGGAAATTTAATTTTTAATATACATTAGCAAAATGGCAAAATAGAGAAATTCTGCACTGTATTTTGAAATAGTATAATGAATTATTTGTTGAAATTGAAATGTACTTTACACTGTTTAAATCGAACAAATGTAAAAAATTCATTTTTTTTAGTTACTACACTATCTGAATAAGGACAATAAGGGCAAAGTACAAACTGCTGGAAGGAAAGATTGTCTCGTTCCAAACAACTTTGAGAGATTTGCATACATACTGTGTCCAAATAAGACCTATTTTTTTAACCATTGTCACACATTTCATCTTTTATGTTTCAGTAGGTTTTCATAATCCAAAATATTTGTCTCACCTACAACTGAACTTTCATTTGCAAACTAAATATCCACAATTATTCCCCAACATCCTGTACGATTAAACTGTTCAAGAAGAGAAAGATTGCCAAACACAGGAAGTGACATATTTGATTACAGAAATAATTAGGAAGCCATCCATTGTATCCAAAAAGCTGTAAATGCAAAATTCAGACTAGCTCACATGTATTGTCAAGGCATACACTCGCAATAATATAACATTACTAAAAAAGCAATTTTGCAAAAATCATCCACAAGTTTCACACTTCACAAATTGACTGTGATTTTTTAGTCCTTTGTCACACACAATTGTCTTCCATCTTTCTTCATTTGGCCTGAAAATAAGCAACAGAGTCTGTTTAGGTGAATATATTTTTAGATACAGTGAAGAGTCATTAATGGTCAATTAAAAAATGAAATAAATAACCTTAGAATTTTACACACCAAACATTTTTTCATTATAACATTATAAAAGAGTAATTCAATTTCTAAAACATTAATATATAACTAACATTATTAACCAAAATCCACAATCTGAACAAATCTCTCAGCCTCTCAATTGTAGCTTTCTTTGGTGTCACTGTCAGTTAAGCATAATGTGACAAATGATTCAAACTTGTTCACATACTGCAGTGATCTTCTCATAAGTTCAGTTACATGCCATACCTAGTGATGCTTCTTGATGCATTTCCAAACAACTGATTGTGTGTAAGTCAATATGACAAAATATTTATGATTTTTAAATTTTCAAGAGCTGACACCACAAAACTGCATACGACATACACTCATAGATCAACTACAAAATATTAACTCAAAAATGATCAAATCCTTAAAGAAAGACATCCTTAAAGAAAAGCATGTACAGTACAGATGAAAGTAAAAGTTTTTTTTTTTTTTTTTAAATTTAACTACTAGGTCATCAGTTAATCAACTACTAGGTCATTAGCGACCACCTTTGTGTGTAACGGCATGGTAACTCTGAGGATGACACAATATGATGATGATGATGATGATGGAGGTGTGAAAGGACGAACAAAATACAACCATGCCCGAGGTAGGACTTCAACCCGCTATCATTCGGTCCGAGATTGCTACAGCACTACTGCCTTAGCAATCTCTGCCATCCGGACCAGCTAAAGTAGAAAGTTTGTTTGTGGCAAAAATTCCAATTGTTATTCAATAAACAGGGATGAAAAAAATTCAACACATAACTAAAATTTACTATAATTTTAGATTCATCACTTACTTTTCAAATTGTTTGATGTTTCTCTAACGTTTGTGCTCGCTAGCAATTTTGGCCAGCATTTTATTTCCACAAAGGAATGTAATGATTCCAATACACAAAAGATACTTGATAGTCTGGAACATGTTAAGTTGCAGCCAAAAAACTCCAAACAGGGCAAAAATTCCTGAAAGTAATAAAATAAAGATTCAGGCTGCTGAATGTATACCTAAGCTGTATATTGTGCAAAAGGGTCTCTGGATTAAGGTATATTTATAACATTACATATACAACCAGTTTGTTGTTCATATTTGGATTATAACAATTTGAACAAAAAAACAACAACAAAACTTATCTAAATTTGAAGAACAGAAAAAACAGCTAAAAACATCCAATCACTCTTATCAAAAGAAACATACCAAAATAAAATTTCAGATCATGCTGTTATTATTAGAGAAATAATTTCGTCTTCAAGTTATGAAATTTTTAGAATGATTAGCATTAAAATGAGTGGAGAATGGTTAAGTCCATAATTTTATTTTAACCACATATTTTTGTAACTCCCATTTTTAAAATTTCATTTCTTTTACATTGTTAAATAAATCAATCTTTTAGCTACCTGAATTTTCTGGACTTACTGTTTTCCTAATTAGTAACTGCATTATATTACAATTACATATTTGTCATATATTTAGTAAAATTATTACATTAGACTATTACACTCATGAATTATAGGCTAATAGCACTTTAGAATTTGTCAGACTTCAGCCAATTGGCATTGTCATACACCATGAAGAATGAGATCACCACTTCTGTCATTCAGCTCCTCCTCGCTTTCTAGTTATAGGTATCTGGTTAGAATAAATTTGTTCTTTAGTTTCAACTTGTACCATTGACCACTGGGGTCAAACCGATCATTTATTTGAATTTTTCATGTTCAAAACATGTACAATTTTTCATGCACAACATGTACAAAAGCTCATTTCTTGCATAGAACATTTATCTTTTCATATACCTATTCCCAAACTTAAGTCTTTTAATGCAGGTTTGCCACCATTTTGTTAATGAAGTGTGATCAGAATTACCCATATATTGGGTTAAAACCGATCATCTATTTAATTTCTGTATTTTAGCTTCATACGGTTCTATGCTTAAAACCATTCTAAAATTTAGTTTTTATACATCATTTCCATTAATACAGTAAAGTTCGCTAAGCTTTAATAACAAAAATAATATTGCAAACAGATAGTAATTAATGGACTTACAGCCATGACTTTCTTTACAAATACATTGAAAAAACAACATAAAAAGCAAACAAAAACACAAATAAAAATAACTAAAAGTTATTAACAATGCATTTGTAATTATATAAACTTTTCAAATTCTACCAACAACTTTTCTGGTTTGCTTTTGTTTGTTAGAAATCAAATATCATCCTTGCACATCCTTGTCTTAATATCATCCTCATGAATCTGGCAAACTTCTTTATTTTCTAACAAAACTTCCATTTTCAGATTCTTCTCCTTCAGTTGCCAAATTTTCTTTTTTCATTTTCACCTTCCTTCATTTTACTATCTTCTTCCTCTATTGAAGAAAATGTAGGTTCATTTTCTCCCATATCTCTAACCGTAATATCTTCCCCTGGTTCATGTGTTTTCCTCTCCTCTGGACAGAGAGGCGGAACATCTCTCCATATGATTTCTGAAAGGTTATTAACATGTGTTCTGTCCATATTTGCAATCTTTCCCCATTTTCTTCTGCCATAATTTCAACTATCGGAAAAAGGACTTTCTCTGAATTAAACAGAACAATTCCATTTTCCTAAAACCACAAATACTGTTTGCTAAAGAAGCAACACCAAATTTCTCAAATAGGCTTAAGGCAGAGAATTCTGCTTTGGGAAGATCTTCGGCTTTCTTCCATTCATTTAGAAAGTTTCTCCAAGCAGCTTTAAGCAGTCTGCAGAATGCCACATATAAGAGTTGGCACAAATGCTTTGAATTTAGTGATAGAAGAATAAAATGAATATTGTTTTTCTCACAAAGGATACTTGAATTTAGACTGAGATGACCATATAAATTAGCCCCTATCATCACTTTTCTACCTTTCTTTGCATATGTTAGGAGGATATATTAAAACCAATCTTTAAACATGGCATGGTCAAACCATTCATTTCAATTTCAATTGTATCAAGCACCTTCCACATCTATTTCAGTGCATGTGAGATAAATATGGTGGGCTTTGTACACAGTGTATGATGGTAGTAATCCATCAGCTGCAGCATCAATCATGAAGCTGATACTGATCTTGGGTGGACTCGTTAATCTCTCAGCAAGTTTAATGCTACATTTTACAACACGTTTTTCTTGACCAGGATCGTCTGTAAAGTTGGTTTAATCATAATTTATTACGTTGGAAGGGGAAAATCTAACATAACAAACACGAAGATTTTCAAGGTAGTCTTTAGTTGTTTCCTTAGTTACAGCAGCTCTGCTATGTTTAATATTCTCAGCCATTATAACAGAAAGTTCTGTGTGCTGACTCAAAAACCCCTTTACCCATTCTGAACTGTGCAAGTTGTCTTTGAACAGTTTTTCAATTTTACCAGAAGAATTTAAATATTCTTCTGGTAAAACATTGTGCACATCAAGGCTTCTCAATGGGAAACCCCATTTTTCACACTGAATTAATCCCTCAATAAGTAGTATTTCTTCATTGGATGATAATGCAGGCTGTCTACCTATTTTCAATTTATATATATTTTTCAGTTTTCATGTAGCATTGTATATGGTACAGCATATTTCTTTGATGTATTGCACGTATTACAAACTTTCGCCTGCATGTCACAAACTGCCCTATTTAGGTGTTACATGTTATAATTTCGTTTCCCACCAGGTCAAAACTTGAGATGTGTTAAAAAATATTTGAAATTTGTCTAGGCAGACCCCACTAGACGTTAAAAAAATTAAATATTTAAACTCACCTCCAAGTCCCAAATGGAATCCAATGGCAGATAGAGAAAAAGGAAAATTAGAAATGTTGATACCTAGTTTCGCCCACTGCAAATGAAGTAAAATATAAATTAATTATAAAACTGTCAAGAAATACCCATTATGTCTTCTTTTCAGAAACACTATTCCTCTGCTTACCAAAATTAGGAGAATAAGCAAAGGCACACAAACCAGTCCAGTAAAAAGATTGGACACAAACACAGGAGGCCGTCTCTCAGGTTCTCGGAATAAATGCTAAAACAAATAAAACATTTTTAAGCACTTTTGCACACTAATATAGAACAAAACTATATTATTCCTAGGCTTTGGGGGATAATTGAAGTAAATTCTGAAAATCTTATTAATGTTCCCCAAAACTACGTCCATCTCCCTCTCTAAAATGCAGACACACATCTCCCTCATGCACACTCACACTCGATCGCAGGTGCACATGCACGCACACTCAAGAGAGTGTGAAAGAGGGAGGGAGAGAGAGAGAGAGTGTGTGTGTGTGTGTAAGGAGAGAGAGAGAAAGAGAGAGAAAGTGTGAGAGAGAGACACAGAGAGAGAAAGTGAGAGAGAGAGAGAGACAGAGAGAGAAAGTGAGAGAGAGAGAGACAGAGAGAGAAAGTGAGAGAGAGAGAGAGACAGAGAGAGAGAGAGAGAGAGAGAGAGAGAAAGAGAGAGAAAAAGAGAGAAACAGAGAGAAACAGAGAGAAACAGAGAGAAAAAGAGAGAAACAGAGAGAAAAAGAGAAACAGAGAGAAAAAGAGAAACAGAGAGAGAGAGAGAAACAGAGAGAGAAAAAGAGAGAGAAAAAGAGAGAGAAAAAGAGAGAGAAAAAGAGAGAGAAACAGAGAGAAAAAGAGAGAGAAACAGAGAGAAAAAGAGAGAGAAACAGAGAGAAAAAGAGAGAGAAAAAGAGAGAGAAACAGAGAGAAAAAGAGAGAGAAAAAGAGAGAGAAACAGAGAAAAAGAGAGAGAAACAGAGAGAAAAAGAGAGAGAAACAGAGAGAAAAAGAGAGAGAGAAAGAGAGAGTATACAAGTGTGAATCTTTGTGGGTGAGAAAAAGTATGAGTGTGTAAGAGAATGTGGGGAGGGTGGTGGACATTTTATGGGTAAGGGATAACTAACTAAATACCTAGGTTATGCTGGGATATTAATTAGTACACAACAAAACTACGTCAACATTTGCCAGGCATACTATGTTATTCCCCTTTTTAAATTCTGTTGAATACAGAATTTGAATATTATAATGATTTGGAGGAACTTTAAAACTTTTCTATCACACTTTCTGATAGTACTGTAAGCCTTCCTTTCAGTTAATCACATTTACTCCACTATGTTAGTTTAAACTGAATTATGTTTGAGTTTTGGCACTTCTCATTTAAAAAGTAGCTACAACACTGTCAGTCATATGGACATTGTATTAAAAACCACTTAATTCTTCTCATGGATTCTCAAACCAGTCCAATTCCAATATTTTTACATATATAGCAGAGGAAAGGTACAAATATGATTTTGTAACTTACTTTAATTTCTGGTTTTGGTGCATAAAGATACGCATCCTTAGTTACAGCACTTGCTGCGGTACCAATATTTAACTCTGCGAACTTCAAATGAACAGTTGCAACTTCCCAAGAAAATGAATTGGACAGTACAGCATCACCAACTATTAACTCCAGAGAATAATCTCCAGAGAGATGGCCAAACTCTGCCGCTTTGCTTCCAAGATCCTGTAGAAGATATGAAACATTTTTTTAATAAAATTCAATTGGAGGGTTTAGTGCAAGGTGTTTATTCAAAATTTTGTAATTTTTAGTTATGTAGTCAAAACAAATTTTCTCTTTCTTACATTGCTACTTGTGATGAAAATCACAGCATTTTGCAAAATATTTGATGCGCAAAAGCTGTTAAAACATATTTAAGAAATATTGTATGCATGAGTGTTACCTTGGAGTTTGTAAGCAAGAAAGTTATAACTCTATAGTTGACACCATGCCAGTGATCATTTAGCTATGAATATGTATAATCATTTCTGGTACTTAATAATGCAGTTGAATTGTAACTTATTTGTAACAGATTAAATTTTAATTTTTCGATATGCTTTGCCAGAAGGTGGAGAATGGGAAGTTATCATTTTATGAAAGAACAAAAGTTCCAGGTGTTCTTTGTAAATAACATGAACTCTGCATTACAGGGGGAAAATTCTCTGCCATTGGCAGCAAAAAAATATATATAATAAATTAAATGCAATGACTCTCCAGTGTTTCAGGGCTTCTTATAGTCCCTGGAGGGAAGAAAATTGATTTTTATGTCACTTCTTTATTTATAAAGTAGAAATTAAAAAGTGTTCTTTAATTTCCACCAAATAATTAAGAGAAAATATTAGTGTGAGAAAAAGTAATAATTACAATATTTTGAGAAGTAGAACACTTATGGCTGATGATTTCATTATTCAACCAGTTTACTAAGCAACAATTGCTTCTAGATTATTTTCCTTCAGATCACTTTCAAAAAATTGTTTCCCAGAGTGGAGTTAACATCAGTCATTGTACTTCCTAAAGTCTCCATGCTGAGAAGAGGTGTTAACTCTAACCTAACACCTTAAATAATATATTTTTTAGATATAATAGGAGGAAAAGAACAGAAGGTATACTAGTTTCATAAGACCATGGAAATAAAGTTCATAAGAACTGACAGGCTTAGGGATCAATAAAAAGTTCCTGGCAATCTACAAAACCTCCCATATCTCCTTGGGTTTTTTCTGAGTTAACCTTTTGGCACTAAATTCTCCAATTATTTGATAAAGCCTCATTTCATGGCATGTTAATTAGTTCATGAAACTTCTCAATAAATCCCACACAATTTTACTATTTAAGAACAATGTAATAGTATAAGCATAATATTCTCTCACACAATTACGAATATATTCCCTTTTCAATCTGATCTATAAATGGCTCTGCCAAAATAATACATGCATATGAAGACCAGGCCTTTATTACTTGCAAGCTTGCAAATATGAACCACACAGAAAAGTACACGATATAGAACAGGACCCATCACATTTTTGTTCCTTGCACATGCCATTTGCACTCTGCTCTTAGCAGGCAACAGAGACAAGAGTATTATGACAAATTCTGGTGGCATCTACCACAATCTCTGAAAATTGCAGAGGTCAAAGCAATAAATGGCATTCCCAAACCCACAATGCACCGTGATCTAAGAGTGTACTTTTAATTCCTCCTGCTTACGAATTCCCACAAAAAAAAAATTCTCAACGATTGTAATATACTTCAGTATTCATACTGACAACAAGGCAAATTTATGCTTACACTCCACTTTTACTAACCAAAATTTGAGTATTTGCATTTCAGAAGCTAACTTCCATTAATGAAACATTTCTTTTGACACGTAACCTAATGCAGACTTTTCCTTCATCCCCATTAACAAGCTCTTGCCTTCACATCTGCCAGTTGCTCTTTGCTCCCAATATAGCATTGTTGAGCACTGTTTTAGAGTATTTAATGTTTTTAAAGTTAAATTTAACTTTAAAACTTGAATCATGCAGCTTCTCTTAACTGAGAGACCAAGAAATGAGAGACATCAGAATCAGAGAATTCACATAAAATTTCCCTTTAGTACTTACCAAATCAAACTTGTAATTCTTTGATGAATCAGGTTCAGCGACAAAAATTATTTCTTGTTTAGTTTTGGGATTGTATAATCTCACAAATGCTTGATGAACAGTCATCAATTTTCCAGTGTTTTTATCCTTGAGACCAAATTTCATAATCAATTTTTGGAGAGAATCTGCTTCCAATTTTGAAGGTAATTTATTCGGGTAAACCACTCTGAAAATAGTAGAGGTCGAAATCTAAATATCCTATGTTTACACAGAATTTGAACAAGAAAATCGAAGATACATTACCTCCAAAAGAAAAAGAAATTATTGTTTATAAAATCAAATATTTAGATTCACAAGAAATTCACATGGAATGACAAAATTGAAACTAAAGTTAAAAATACAGGAGCATATGAATTATTTAAAAGTCCCTCTCCCTCCAACAAAATTCATGTCACTTCATGAATTACAACTTTTTCATAATACGGACTTCCAATACACTCTTAATTATTGATTCAGAATCTAGAAAAGAACGTTTGACTTCTGACTACTTATTAAATTACATTATACAATCAACAGGACAACTGAATCCAATATTTTTACAAATAAGTATGTTAATTTAATTAACATTAAATGAAAATTATTATTTATAAAAAGACAACAATGCCATCTTTCACTTCCCCAAACCTCCTCCTTATTTTTATACTATACACTCTCCATTACAGTCATACTACCACAAACATTTAATGCACATTTCAAATGCACCACACATTTTGTGACCATCTGTGCTACATGACAGATAGCAACAAGGCGAGTTTACTTAAACTTGTGTTTTGTACTCATCAAATATATTTTAATATTATATCTAGTATTTAATAACACTATAAATTTTAAATAGTTGGAGATCACCTGTTGAAGGAAGTCAAATACCTACTTAAACATTGTACGTGGAACTTGAAATTGAAATAACGAAAAAAGAGTGTGTTTTCATTGTTCTTAATTCCTATGAAGAATATTTGTTAACTTATTTATTTATAATATACCTTAAAGCAAGGACTACAAAAAGTTTTTATGAACACTTTCAATAAAACTAGGTTCTAATGTAGAAGATAAAGTTTAATTTCATAGAGAATAATGCTTGACAGACCTCGCAGACTGTCACTTAGACAACCGCTAAGGGTTCTTTGACATATTGTCTTTGAAAATATTAAATCTGCTGCCAAGTCCAACAATGGAGATAAATTGCAGTTTGTGCCTAATTTTGTTACACTTACTGTTTATGAATATACCAGCGAAGCAAAAAGTATGTAGCTGCTATCAAGATTGTAAAAAGTCATTGTATCAGGCCTAAGAATTATGTTTACACATCACATGCCCACTTAACAGAAGCAACAGAATTAGGCTGTAAACCAGAAAGCTACACAATTCAAATAATGAAATTAAGCTTGTAATTTCAAAGATGTGCCATCCATGCAAAATATGGGTGTTAATCAAGATCACTTAGTCACATCCTTATCAAATAAATAAATGAACAAGACATTGTTAAAGTATCATAACCTTTCCTTAGAAGACTGTATACAAGAAGGAAACGCTCATTCAAATATTCACACAGAATAGCACCTGAATAAACCCACTCTCAATATCAAGTATTCGGCTTCTGCAACAAGTAAATGCTATTTTTGTGGATACAGCACACTTGAATGACCTCACAGACCTGCTTGAAATACTATTTGTAGAAATTGTTCAAAGAGATGCCATTAAGCTTCTGTTTGCAAATGTAAAACTACAACCAAAGAACATGCATTAGTTTCAATTCTCCCCATTACTATGCAGCCTCTCAAAAGCCATTGTTCCTGTAACAGTGAACTCAAAGCTCAAACCTTAACAGACATAGGAAGTCATGAAATATCATCTTACTATTTTACTTGATATAAACATTTCTCTTATAAATGATAACACATCAGTGACAACAGGTCAAAAACATCACCAGCTTTAGGAAGCTTCACTGTTACTCCTCAATCATTAAAACATTCTTATAAAAATGTTATCTTTGCCTCATAATTGGTTGATTAATATGATTGGTGACAATATTACGAAGTAGCCAACTGGGTTTCTTAGCCTAATAAATTGCTATAACCTTCCACAATTCAGCTTTCTTAACCATAAGAAATATAAGAAGTATGTGGTGACATACGTAGGGCATACCACATATGTAGGTGAATTCCTCAACATCGCTGCGAGTCGCCACCTTTGTATCAAGCAAACTTTATGCGTGAAGGTGAAGTATTTAGGATGGGCATGGGAGGGGGGCTAAGCAAACAGCAGGTTCACGGGACCACGCGCTAGGATGGCAAAGGAGACCCACACTCGGGAAACAATACGCTGGCCAGTGCACTCTAGCAAGTATTTACACACCCGCAAGAACTCAACACACTGATGTACAATGTCAAAACTGTTTTATGCAAAAGCAAAATGTTTTTAAAAGCCATCAACCTACCCACCTCACTTTTGATTAACAACATTGTTTGAAGGGAAACATCATGACGCATTCTGTGGACTTCAGTGGGGCTCTTGGGAGACATTTCTTGCTCAGTCGAACTGACCCAGCAGTTCTTTATAAAGTAACGAGCATATTAACTGTTGCGAGGATGCCCCTTGTCCACACTCTCAGAGTTTTAAAACGAGCAATCTGGAATAGGTAGATGCCTAGTATTGGAGACGCCCTTCCTGATTCCAAGGGCAGGGCTACCAGAAGAGATGCGTTTCCGCTCTCAGAGTTTTCTTTCTCAGCGGATAACTGATGGATTTTGGTTCTATTTTGGGCTCAAGAGGAGACACTTCAGTTTTTGTCTTTCAAACGAGCACTTTATGCTGCTTTCTCAGTCAAAAAAGATACTTTTTGCGAGTATGTGAAACATAAAAGCAGTTTACAAGCTGAGATGAGGCTTGATCCTCACAAGTTTTTTTCGAAGATGGAAAAAGTATTAGGCACAGTACATTTTGCACACCTGAGACACCGTCATGCTTGTGGACAGGTGGACACCTTGACGTGGTAGAGGGGTCATGGGATCACACAACGTTCGTCGCTTGGCTGAGGTGACTGCTAGGACACCTGTGGAGCCGTCGCCAGCAGAAGGGTTGTGACATCATTGTTTACAAAACATTGATGTTCTTATTTATATTGTTTACTTTATGATTTAATATTTTTGAAGTCCATGTTTTTAACATCAATGTTTTGTGTTCGATGATTTGGATGGCTGATATTCTATTTTTGAGTAAACAAAATCAACATTGCAATGGTCTGTAATTCTTCGTTATTTCATTTGCAATTGCTCTGCATCACCCAACATCTTATGTTCATTAAATATACTGTTTTAACAACTGAAGTATGCTCCTAGCATACACAGAAATAGGCAACAGCAAGCAACCTCGCACAACAGATTCCAATTCATAGGCAATATTATCATACTTTTGAGGTAAAAGTTTGTTTGTTTGTTTGTTTGTTATTTCTCACCCTCTCTCTGGTACTTATATGAAATAATTTTAAACAAATATATACCCTGCAAATACTGAAGACTATGTGGTCAACAGAAATCAATTAGATTCAGAAAAATTGCATCATGAACAAAGAAACATGCAGTATCCATGGAAGCAGGTCAATAAGAAGGAAATGCAGCATAATTCATATGAGAAAGTACAAAATAATTGTCTTACTTGGTGAGTTTTGCTTGCGTTGTTTGGTCAGCATCTACAGTACCGATTTCAACATTTTCAACAGCAACTGCGCACATAACCTTGACCGTTAATGAAGCACCAACATTTCCAACCAAACGAGGATCTGGTTTGGCCAAGGCTGCACTGATGGACAGCTTATAGAAACCTCGTTCTGGTTTCAGTTCCATCAAATTAACAGAATACACTGTTCTGGCAATTACAAAACACACAATAAATACCTTGCAAAAACAAATAATTTCTATTATTTAAACATAATTGAATTTTCTATTAAAAATTAAAAAGTTATTATTTTGTTCACTTTTTACATTTTGATGTCCAACTTAAGACTTATTCCTACATTACATGGTGTAATAAATCAGTTTAAAATGAAATATTAACTATACATACTTGTCTGCAGTTGGCTCGAACTTCTTCTTTGATAGAACAACAACTTCATCACCAACACGAGTAGCACTCTCAGCCGTTACAGTCAAAGGCTCAGTGCTCAAAGGTTTGCCAAGCAAATCACTTACTCTTACAGAGACACGTGGCTGCTCCAAAGACACAGCAGCAGGGCTGACCAAAGTGATGGCTGCTGGTAAGTGAAACTAGAAAAGAGATTTTATTTCATTATGACTAGCCACTTGTAACTAAAACTATACAAACTGTAATATTAACACATGATTAAAAAAGAGTATAATGATGTTGCAGTAACTATACATATCCACTATTTCTTTTTCTGCATTCATTATGCAGTGCAAAAACGTTTCAAGTTAACAATGCCAGTAAGAGCTATCTTCAAGATAAAACCAGTTAAAAACTTTTTACTGTCTCACCCTACTACAAAAGAGAAATTATAGTAATCGTGAATCAGAAATCACCTAAACCATTCTGACAATTTTTTCTGTAATTGATCTAAATGAACTCAGGGCCCTGCACATTTGGAATGGATATTTTGTTTTTTGGGGGTACTTTAAATAAAGCCAAAACATTTCAATTTTCTCAAAATTGGCTCCAAATTTTTTTTATAGACCTTTCATCTTGTGTATAGTAAAAGACACTTAGAATGGGGCAGGTCTCAATTTCATTGAAATCTGCAGAAGTTCAACAATTTTTTTGGCACCTTCCACCAAATACAATAGTAAAGGTAGATTTATTTCCCTTAATGAAATCTCTTCATAAATAACAGATGCCAAAATACGGGTGTGTACAATTTTTTGAGAATACAAGTTGTTTATGTGTAGTTTAGTTCAGCACAATTTTTTAAATAATTATTTAGTAAAAAATGGCTTCACATTTTTCTTCTTGTTAATACAATTTATAAAACTTTTTTTTGAAAACTGCTCCAATTTTTTTCTTTAAATATTTACCATGGAAAGAAAAATGGACCCCTAAAAGAATTGGGCAGGTCTAATTTTCTTTACACTCTCTGAATTTTCGAGAATTGCAGAAATAATGCAAGGAAATGTATGCTGTTGTACCACTAGTTCATAACTCTGTAATGTCATAATGATGAAAAAAATCAGAGAAACTAGTGGTGCTACAAAATGGCACAGGCTCATACTGGTTAGTTTCTTTACTCTTCACTTCGTGTTATTTTTCTGGTTTTGCCACACAGTCTTCTCAGCAGATCTTTTGGCACCTAAAAATCATTCTTACACATTTTCCCTATTTTTTTGATCCCTAATAGTAGAATTGAACCACAATTTTAAGAATATTATAAAAGGGTAAAATCTGGTCCTATAAGTACATTTTCATTGAAAATTTTGGAGCCAATTTCAAGAAAATGTTTTAACTTTTCTGAAAATGCACATATTTATGCTCTTTTAACAAAAAACATTTCAGGTTTTGAGAAATTTGATTAGAAATCACAAATGCAACAACGTATACACATCGCCTGCAATGTAAATGTTAATGATATGGAAGAGATATAAAAAAAATTACAATTGTGAAATGGGGGGGGGAGAGAGAGAGAGAGAGAAAACAATGCAGCAAAGCATTTAGCAGTATACGGAAAAAGTTGGTTATAAATTTCTTGTGCTGCAGTATTTAGAATTTTGACCTGTTTAGTTTTAAGTTGTGCCCCCTCAGTCATGTATTGTTGGGGCTTGGAAATAGATGTTGGAGCTCAGAAATATTGAAGATGCCTTTCATTCACTTGAAGTTTCTCTCATAACTATTTGTCTACGAGTTCCAAGTGGCTGCATTTGTAGTTGTTGTTTGCAGTCTTAGGGAAGGATTCTGAAGTCCACTGGAATGTGTGTGGTCTTTCTGAGTACTTGCTCCAGGAAGAGTATATCCTTTGACAGGTTTGGATTCCGTATCGTGCTTCCATATTCCAGTATTGGTAGTATGAAGGAGTTGAAAATTGCTTTTAAAACAATATTGTCCAATGATTTAAATGCCATCATCATCAGGAATAGTGCACTTGCCTTCCTTATGATGTAGTTGTGGTATTTCCACATCAGGTCAGATATCATGATACCCAGGATCTTGGTACAGTTTGTTGATGTCAATGCAGGTCTTTCAATCATACATTTGAGAATTATTCCTCCCAATGTGCATTACATTGCATTTTTTCTCATTCAGCAGTATCATCCATAGTTTACACCATTCACAAATTTCATAGAGATCTTCCTGCAGTTCCATTGGTTTAACACTCGGGTCATTAAGGACATGTGTGTTGTCTGCGTACATCAGGGATATTGACTTCATGTGTAGTAGCTGGTATAAAGGATGAGTAAGATCAGGGCATGGACTGATCCCTACGGAACTCAACTTATGACTGTTCATGGTTCTGAAAGGTCACTCTCGATTCTCACCCCAAACTCTTCCTTTCAAGAAGGCTTTTCTCCAGCACAACAATTTTCCTCTCATGCCCGTGGACCCTAATTCATACAATAACCTTCCATGAGGGACAATGTCGAAGGTTTTTGAAAAGTCATGATATACAACTGGGTATTTCACTGTCTAGTTCTTGCAGAGTATCCAGGGCTAGCATTATTTATTTGTTTCCCATTTGCATTCGTTTTGAATCTGCTGTTACCCTAGAATTTCTGGAATATGTAATTCATGACATTTCCATTATGGTTATGTCCATTGTTTGCAATGGGCACTGAATAACATATCGATTCTACACCAATCGAATTCTTGAAGACCAATTGTGTTACAATGGAAAGTAAGAAAAGGAGACACTAGAACAGAAAGTGGAGATAATAAAAAAATAGATAGTGGAATAAAGCAGGTTAATGTAGCATGTGCGTATGACACAAACCCAACTTCAGTTTCAACAATTTTAAAAATCAGAGAAATGGGAATTTTAATACTACTTTGAAAATAGTGGTGCAACAGAATGGCATCACTTCCTCACACTAGTTAGTTTTCTAATCTCTTAAATCTAGGCTAGCTTTCTGGTATCACCCCACCCTTGCCCCAGCTGCTACCTAACACTAAAACATTTTATACTATTATCTCAATTTTTCAGTCCCCTAACAGTTGAATTGAAATAGGACATTAAGAATACTACAGATGGTTGAATTTAATTGAATTCAATTTGCCTTATTTTACGTGGCGAGACTCAGGCCATCAGGCCCGCTCTTCCGTCTGACCACGCAAATTTCACTACGCTCCTTTCACCAACTACGAGAGAAAGGAGGTATTTCTAGGGCGAGAAACAGGCGATTTGAATTTAGCTCAGAGGCGTCATTTAGGCTTGTGGATCTTTTACATGCAAGTAAATCAAGTAACATGCAAGTAAAATGGTTAAAACATATTATTGTATGCAAATTTTCATTGAAACATTTGGAGCTGTATGAGCACTTGTTTTTCTAGAAGTAACAAAACCATTACAACTTGGCTGCATATGCCCCAGCAACTGAAGTGGAAACCAACCACCATTTGCATAACCTCAGCCTAACTCCCAGACTTAACCACAGGTATTTCGCAGCTAAGTGTGGTTTTAAGATGAAGATTCAAACTGATGCAAGTCATGTCAACGCATGAATACACTTCGGCCAAGAATATATAATTACTTTGTGGTCACAGCTAAACCAACATCTAGCAATCAGGAATGAAAAACATTCAAATGACATTTTCTCAAAAATGGCACCAATTTTTTCAACAAAAATTTTCATTTATGACCCAGTTTTATTCTTGTATACTCATAATTTATTTAAAAACCGGTCCTTGAGGCAGCAAAAGATGGCAACTGGTAAGAGGGTGGGGGAAACACCAAAAACCTATTTCAGACTAAAGCGATTAGAAAACTAACTCGTTCAAGAAAGTCTGTGCCATTCAGCACCACTAGTTACTTTCTTATACAAGTATGTATGTGCGTCTCTCTTACATGCTTTTCTCAAATATTAATACCTTTCTCGTAAATGTACTTACCTTATTATTGATGAGTGTGTTGAGCACTTCCAAGAGCATATATGCCCCTTTCAGTGTCTGAACAGAACGTCTGCTCAAAAAGTAATTGGCAAACTTCACAGCTTGATCACCGGTGATAGGTGGTGGTTTGTTTACAGTGCCAGCAAGTTTATAAGCGCCACTTACTAACAGAGCTGCAAACCAACATATGAAAACCAATTAGATCTACTTCCATTTTCCACATTTGCCACCTCACAAGAAAAGTTCTAAGTGATTCGTTAAGTCATTATGTCTTGTGTTCAGCAACCACAAAAAAATACTTGAAAAAAGATTGTACACTGTGCAAAATTCACAACTTTAAAAACAATAAAAAACTACCCCGTAAAAATTTGAAGAAAAAAAAACGGCCAAATTGTAATGACCATACCTCCTACAATTTTCATTCCAAATCAATGGAACTTTTTGGCCTGGTAAGCTCTTGGCGTAGATAATAAATGCTTCCCTTCAGCCATTTCATTCCGTACCAAATACATAATATTATTAATTTTAAAATACATTAATTTAAAAGCTTGCTAGGAACTTCATTTCTCTAGAATTTTATCCTTTCTTTTCTTGCATACTTTCATGTTATGTAACTAAATCGCACAGAACACTGAGTGTGCCAACAGAGTAAGGATAGTTTATTCAATGTCAAAAACTATTATTTTAATAAATTAATTGCTTTTATTCAGAAAAATCGTAACTTATTGCATATAAACAATATTTAATATTCAATAATATAAACTTGATTTTCACCTACACTATTATAAAAAGAACCTTTGCATCTTTCGGAGGGAATAAATTTCATCCATTTGAATGATTTAGCTCAGAGTCAGCATTGCTGCTGCCTCTGCAGTGACTCTGACCAAGAGGTCCTAGGATTTGATTCCCGGCAAATTTTCAACACTAGCGAAATAGGTAGGTCAAATTCAGTCGTATTTTAAAATTCCAGCAATTAGCCGCTCCGATTGATAGTTTTCTGATATTTCTCCAATCAATAACTTATAAATGCTGAAGTAGTACCCTAAAAAACGGGCCAAGATCTTCATGCAATGTTTCCTTCCTTTTCCTCATCCTCTCCCTTTAGATACACACATACAAGCTCTACACTACCACAAGTTGGAAGACCAGTTGCGAGCTGGGAGTTTTGTCCTGACAAAGATGGTCCCCATGGGGGGAAATACTTGGATAGGAAAATCCTATGCTTGCCGATGTGAAGTTTAGTACCACATCTCACCAACTAAGGAGAACTTCCCACAATAAAATATTCACAACAATAACAGGACTAACTATCATCACAGTTGACATGCCCAGAAACAATCAATCAATCAGCCTGAAATTGTATTATAAAAAATCTCATTATCACTGAAGTTTTCTGAATAATTTAGGCAAATTATAATCTCCTCTAAAATTACAAATACTTAAAAAATAATTAATTAATGAAGATACACTGCAAGTTTTAGTTTTTGCTCTAGTACATTCAAAATTAGAGTATACCTCCACAGTTTGGTTTCCCTGTTACAAAACCTAAAATAAGTCAGCACAGATTCGTGGAATTCCTTGAATTTAAGGAGTCTGGAGTATCCAACCTCAAGAAATCAACAACTAGTATCAGCTTTTCAAATTTAATATTGAAAGTGTCTTTACGTGGCGGCAACAATCGTACTATTCTTAAAGATTCTGTGAAATACTTCTGACGTCCTCAATATTGACTCCCAGATCTCACTGGTTAATCCTCATTACGCACCTCATGTCTAAAAACTTCTTTACATTTATAATTCAATGTGTACCTTTCTGGTTAACTCTGATTAACTTGTGTAGTGAACTCAACTTGCCAATGAATTTCCCTCAAACTGCCGTGATAGTTCAGAGTTTCTGAAGACTTGTTGATTGTATTATATAACAAAATTGTCAATTACTACGACAATATAACATTACCATTTTTTTCCTTTTTGTAATTGTAAATAAGTAAAATGGATATATCCCACAAACTTTATAATGAAAAATAAAATAAACAGCAATCACTTACCCGTAATGCTCAGACCACCTTCAAACTGTAAAAAACGACTATCCACTTCATCTGCCTGTACAATTGCATCCTCTATTCTATCAAATGCAAAAGTCCCATCTGTTCCAAGTTGAGCTGCAATGTGGAACGAGTATCCCAAGCTGAAACAATTAATTTCCAATGACTTCGTAGAACACTTACTAAATTAAATCGTACCATAAAAGAGGAGGGAGGAAAAGAGATATGTGAAACTGAGCATACAGGCATTGGATTAATCATCATATTATATTACTACATTAGCCAAGATACAAAAGTGGCTACGATCTTCCCAAATATAGAAGGAATGATGCTGCAATTATATAAACTTTCTAAATTCATACATTCTTTATGGCACTTTTTAATTTATAAATTGCCTTTACTTCAAGCAAAACATAAGCAAAAACTACCTAGTTATTCAAAAATATATATTTTTTAATATGTTTCATTACGGAAAAATCTACCATCAAAGTTTTACATCCACACTTTAATTTTTTCCAATTTTCAAAAATACAGAGTTCTCTGAAAAAAAGAAGAAAGAAAAACAAAAACAACTTGTGTCACTTTTATAAGTGTACTTAAAAAAAAAAAAAAAAATTCGAGAAAATAATTATTTAAAAACTGCCAACATCATTTCATGCAATATGATTTTATTTTTTTAAATTAGTATTTTTTATATACATGACCTTAAAAAAAATTATTTCTTTGAAGAACAGATTTTAACAGAAAAAGTTGTCCTGAATAATGAAGTAAGAAGAAGCAATAAAATTTTGCCTTAGAAAATTCAAAAATTTCCAACTCCACAAAATTGAAGAAAGAAAAAAAAAGCATAATTTTTTAAGCATCATTTGCTTTATCCAATGGACAATATTTAATGAAAATATTTGCCAATATTTTGTAGCAAATTTTGAAAATGTTATTGAGGCTTATGTAAAGCACTCCCAGAATCAAATTATCCATTTGATATTCTTAGTGCCAAATATTCAGCCACATCAATCATAGAAAAACAATTTTGAAGGGAATCATCAGAAAGTTTAAGGCATTACTGTTGACAAGAAATATCAACAAAGTTATGTTTCTGTTCTTATTTCTCATCAGTTAAACTTGTAGTCTACATTGTAGGATTCAGTCTTCTGATTTCCTCCTGGATTTTGGAAACAGGAGAAGAATGTGAGTTTACCGTCACCTCTCCATGAGTTGTCTCGGAACAGTATAATACACAATGCAACAGAACATTTAATAGAATGATGACCAATGAATGATTCTCAAATATAAGGGCAAGTCCTGCGTGAGCTACAACTGATGGCAGCAACAAGTCATAGTTTATGTTGGCTCACATAAGTTGATACACTGCATATCAGAGCATTTGGTGTCCTATTTTGGTGACAGAAACTGCAACATTGTGCGGGAAAGATGTGTGGGATGAGTCTCATCAGCTGTGTGCACCATTCCTAAACCAAAAGAACTGAAGGAAATGTTTATGATAGAAAGCAGTGCACTGAAGTTACTGCAGGGATGAAACAGTCATTGCACTAATATATATTCACACACAGACATTTATATGGTTATTTTCATTATTTACATAAATATCAAAGGGAAGCACCTGATAATTTTTTTATAAATCCAAATGTCAATACCCGTTGATTATCTATATCTAAGTAAAGTGTCTAAAAGAGATAGTTCAACATGCCTCCATCAACTTCCAACAACCAATTTGCCTGGAGGAAAGGCTAATTAGAACTTTAAATACTCATTCTGTTCTTACATTGTTCAGTGATTAGTGTTGTTTCAACCAACCAGTCAGTCAGAGGAAACATTTAAGATTTTTTGTTCATTAAGATCCTAAAGGTTCTTTTCACCCCTAAAGGTGAAAATTATCTTAGTTGCTGACACACATGTGCCCCCAAAGATAACTGAAGTAAGCACGCCAGACTGTAAGAACATCCGAACGTGTCTTAACGTAGTGCACCTTGAGTCGACAGCGCTCAGTAATAATGTTCATTTTTTTAAATACTTCTTTTCAAAAACAAAAATGTAATAAGATTGAAGAAAATTGATAGAAAAAAAAATATTTTGTGAAAATAGCAAAATATGTAATATAGTACAAATTATGTAAAAATATGTAATGAAAAAATTAGGCACTGTGTCAGTGCAGTGCCTATTAGCCAAGATAACAGTTTTGAGAATTGTAGGAAAACAAAAAATATGTAATCACGTAAAAATCTGGTCTCTGGTGATGATATATGGACCTTTCTCCAGCCAATTCATATGCCTGAACTGTAAACTAATTATTTTATGAACACAGGAAGAGTTCGAAGATATATGGAACTTTCCTACCAGCAACGGCTGTATTAGAATAACGTACAACTCTTTAGTCATGTCAATTCAGGCCAGAGTTTCTAAATTATACGAATTTTTTATTCAAATTGTGATATTAGCCGCAAATTACAAATTCAGATTGGTGAACATTGGAGCATGTGGTAAGGACATGGATGGAGGGACATTTTACGAATTCAGTTTTCTGCACTTGAGAGTGGAAAATGTTTTTGCCTCAAACAGATATCAGGTCACCCTATTTCTTGAGGATGATGTGCATTCCCACTAAAGAAATATTTAATGTGCAACTCACCAAAGCAAAAGTAATTCTGAACCAAAGACTATCTGGTACAAGGAGAGTGGTGGAGTGTTCTATCAAAATTTTGACAGCCTAGGGGAGAATACTCCATAAAAGTACAGAAACAAAAGTGGAAAATGCCGTGAAAATTTTACAATGTACCACTCTACTTCACAAAATTATTGTTAATAATGAGGGAGCAGACTCTCTTATGAATCAAACCCCCAAAAATTCTCGGCACATACCCACCCTGCCAGTTAATGCGTTTAATTCATCTTCTACAGAAACCCGCGAAATAAAGTAGGTTTTCTGTGATTATTTCAATAGCCCTGCTGGTTTGGTTACAACACAAACCTAATCATTCGCTTTGTTTGGGATATTATGAAATGTATTGTAATACATATTATCATCATCATCGACATCACAGTACTAAGATTTAGTTTCCATGCGTTCATTATCATCTTAATTGCATTTTTTTATACATTCTTGTGATGCCTGATGTTTTCAGTGACCAAATTCTTTGTTTTTAGTGTTTTCCTTATTACTTTGTTTATTTCGGCTTTTAACATTATTTGTAGTACTGTTTTAATATATCTCATTCAAGATGCCTTCATTCTCTATTTGTTTCTTTGTTTGAATGTCTATGTTTTGCTTCTATATTGTAAGGATGATATTTGCCACAATGTTATGGATTCTTATTTTTGTTTCTTTCTTCATGTTTTGGAAGCGTCTGTTTATGCAACCACTGATCTTGATAATTTTGCCAGTTTGTCTCAATATCTTCCTCTCTTAGTGATATCTTGTTGCCCAGATATGTGATGGTTGCTACTTGTTGAATTGTATGTATACTATGTAATTTTTAAACTATGCTATAAGCAACGATGTCGAATTCAATGAAAAAATAATGTAAGTTGACATAACTTAATAAGGAAATAAACATAGGAACTTTCATGTTACTCTCAGCAAGCCAATTCCTTCCACCGCCAATTCCTTCCACAATACTCCACCTAATTTTGTATCCCAAAATTCTCTTCTATTCATCACTTCTTCAATTAAAGATTCATTAATGTCACTAACATTTGGCATTTGTAAGCTTTAAAATAGAGCAGAAAAAATTGAAACAGGACAGACCAGAATGCAGCACAACTAAAACATGACACAACTACAAGATTCAAACTCTTTTGAATCTCAAGTGACACCACTCATAACACTTTCATCGCTTTGTAGTAGATGCCACTGACACACAACAGAGTGATAATCTAGTGAGTGTTTGAAAGTCATCACTTGAAGGTGTCGTGTATCGCTGTCACAGAATGTAGCTCTTGCAGGACATTGCCCAAACTTCTCTGTGATTGATGTAACACCTGCTCTATAATGAACATGTATCATAATGACTATCATTATGCAACAAGTTGAAGCCTTCTCAAATGAGAATTATACAAAGGATGTAGAAAAAAAATACAATTAATTTTTAAAAGGTACTAACTTTAACAAACTGTCATCTTTCTTAAGAGCAGCCTGCAAGGTCTTTATCAATTTGGCAGCATCACCCTTTTTCTGCCCAATGTTATTTAAACTCTGAACAGCATAAAAGAGATCAGGTACTGTAGACGTCTCCTTCTGCAACACTTCTCCCAAAGCCTGCAAAATTATAAAATGCATGGTCTAAAGAATTCTTGATAATAAATAGATTTTTAATTTAATGAAAAAAGAATTTTTTAAATGAATATCCTGATGTTCTTCAAAACAGAAAATTTTTCTTTCTTGTTATAAAGCCATAGGAAAACAAACCAATATACACCAATACAAAGTTTTTGAGAGCTTCACTAGCAAGTCAAATGGGCACAATCAGATTTCATTCACAAATGGTCAACAATCAGCATAGCCAATAACCAGAGAACAGATTTATATGGACTAAAAATATATATGTAGTTATTTTTAGCAAAATATGGAATTCAATATGGACTTAATACGATACAAAATTACTATGATAAAATATTTTATAGATGAACCTTCGTCTTTAAATTCTGAAATGTAACTTAATTTTACACTGGCTGACTGTTCTACGTATGGCATTTTAGACTGGATAAATAGAGAGATTAATAGAACTGAACCAAAACATAGTGGATGAACATATGACTGGATTATAACAGACAACGGGGAACTGTAAGTTGAATTCAACTGTATTCAGCTGTACAAAGTGATTTCCGAGTGGCAGCCTTGGAGAGGGTGAGGGTGGATACTGAAACAAAGTGTGTTTTCCACAGACCTCACGTCCTCTCTCTCACTTTCTCCCCCACCCTTCCTTCACCCTGCGGGACACTCAGACCCCTCAGTCAGAGCCTCAGGACCAGAGAGTGTATCTATTCTTCACAAAAATGTTGTTGAAGGATAAAGAATCTGGATTCTATCACAAAGATGCAATGTTCAATTACGTTGACACAAATGTTTTGTCTTAACAAAACATTAAACACACCCTTACCTTGGCAATGTTGCTAACTGGCAATGAGCCTGAGCATGCCAGAGATCGCCATGCATTAGTTACATAATATAAGGTTTCGGGGGAAGTTGTAGAAGCAGCTGCCTGTAGAGTTTTGCACACCTCCTGTTTCAGAAAATGTACAAATATTTAATAAAACAGTGCACGAAATACATTGCAAAATTATGAAATATGTTAATAATTTATTTGAAATAAATGTCAAAACTTAAATACTAGTACAATTAATGTTAATGTAATAAATGTATGAACAACCCCCACATTCACAAAAATGTATATCAATTGATAACACAAATAATTTTCCAGTAAAAGAAAAATATTACAAAAAGAGCAAAATAAAATTTGTTTTATTTGTTTAATAACTAGCTAAATAAATAAAAATAATTTGTACACTTTCCAATAAAATTAATCTTAAGATCTATTTTGCACAATAAAAAATACATGCTATTGACACTGGCAATACTGCAGCATGTATTTCAAAGCAAATCACCCAAATCAACAAGTTTAAGCATAGTGATAGGTTGTTCTACAATTTATTACAGTCCTTCAAATTTTGAATTATTTGGTACTATAAAATTTCATTCAAATTATAAGTTAGGAATTATTTCATTCAATAATATAGTTTATAGGGCCCCCACATCCTTCAATTAACTTTCAGATATATAACTAATAGCTATCGCTTTAGCTAACTAATAGCTAAATACCCTCTTCGGTGAACCTTCTTTCCTTTAATAATAATAACCAATAGCCCTTGCCTGACCATGTTTAATATTATTTATATTTTTAACTGTATTAAAATTCATCACATTTTAAAGACATGAAGTTTGCTTGATGAAACAGTATTTTACATTCATTCACAAGAACCTATTCAAATATACAGATAAAACATGTAGATCGTACCAAAAGAGTTCAAAAAATTACTCACAGGCTGCTTTGGAACTGTCTGACCCAGTAATTTGTATCCTAAAACTGCATAATGGATGGATGGCAAATCTTTGAGATCCCAGGCTCCCGAGAAAACCTGCTTCAATCTGGCTTTATCAGTATCTGCCAGATAAGCTGCTGTAGTTGTTGTTCCTGCTACTGGCATATGCAAATCAATTCCCAATACAAGGAACAGCACGCACCAACACACTGCTGGAAAAGGATTTTGTCAATTTAACACACTAATTTTGAGCAGTGATTAAAACAATATTTATAACTACACTAATAGAAAAAATACTTGTATAAAAGCAAAATTTACAGAGAGAACCTGCCTTCAATTTCACAGTATACTAATAAAAGTAATATATTACAATGATGTCAATTATACATACAATTATAAACTGTTTATATCAAAATAATGTCTAATGACAGTGACTCAAACAAAGATTTTTCAATATGCGTGTAGGGGGAAGGTGTATAGATGCTAGTGCTCAATGAGTAATTATAATGATCTTTGTTTTAAAGAGGACCTCTTTGTTACAATATTATGCTCCTACTGTTACAGTTTTATTAGTGTGCCTCTTCCTAGTTTTACATGGTCAGCTGTTTTAACCAACTGTGATTGACTATGAATAATGACTGCTGGCTTTATCTAGCATGCCTATTATTAATTATTTCACTTTTGTTCAACACAAATAACTTCAGAATAATTTTAGTAAATAAATATAATTTCTGAGGTAAGTTTCCTCCAATTTGTTTATTAAAAACTTCAAATGACATAATGAAGACAAGATTAAGATTGTACTGTGATTATCATTTACATTTTATGATGTTGACCAGTAGGTCTACAGTTTTCAGAGTGATGCATTCTTAATTGGTCTTAAATTGTCTCTCAGAACGAAACTCTTAACATTTTGAGACTCTTTAGCACTTGAGGACGTGTTTTCAGAAATACAGTCCAAGATGAAGAAATTATATACATAACTTTTTGAAATGTATTTTGTGGATATAAGTTGACGGGCCAAACATTGATAAATCATATAAACCAGAAGATCCGTTTCTCCACCGCACCTTCTTGGGATCACACCTCCGAGAAACTTGTGAATTCATCACTTAAATCACACAAATTTAATAGAAAATGTAAGAGGAAGATATGGAGTATAATACTATTGAACATAATTGCATTTATTGAAAGAACAAAATGCGTTTCAATTCTAACATGTATTGCCACGGAGACATAAAATTAATTATTTTCCTTAACACTTTCCCTTTCACTGCGATAATACTTAAATTTCAACCAAGTTACATCGTTTCTTAATAACCATTTAAGTACCTGAATTCATTTTCGAAGTAACCACGCCGGTATCCAAACACAAGTATAAGTACTTCACATCAGTATTCAGTACACCGAGCTCACCCACACACACATGCACACATTGGCCCACGTAGACGCCGGTGTCTGGTCAGTCGCATTCGGAATCCACGTCGGCGTTCGTCATGGAGTAAATAGGATGAATTTGATAGGCATCATATGTTTAATTCGCCATGTTGACCGGGCGAGGGTGAAGTGTACTCGTGTAGTTTTAAATTCGATTAGTGTTATATTCCATCTTTGGTTTAGCTCATATTATGAATGTGTTCTTTAAAATCGGCTTATCTTAAGTTTGGGGGAATAAATGACGAAGCAGTTGGACTGCAAAAGCAGTGGGTAGAATTGACAATATATGTGGACCAGAGAGTATTAATAGAGAGGTGTTCTTGTGAACTTATATTTTGTTATGAAAACGTGCTTTCATACGGATAACTCTAGACCCAGTGACGCAATTGCTATTTGTCTTTATTTACAGATTGCTTACTACTTACTAGTATTTAAAGAATAAAAACGTCGGATTGTACATTATAATTATAAACTGTGTTTGAGTCAGAATTTTAAAACCCCTTCACCAAACATCGTAAATAGATTTTAAATATGCTCAGTACATGATGAAAGTGTTATGATAAAATTTCTTTCTGCACGTCTTGACATCACCAAGCAGGTAGTCACGTAATGTCACGCCATTTGCGAATCCGAATCAGATTATCTTCCGGACGGAAGTGGAAGATTACTCATCGTTTGTTTTCTTGGACATTGATAGAATTCCAGTTGGCGAGTGGACCGTGCGTGACTTATAAGTGGAGACCTAGATTCGTTGTATTTCGAGAAGTTAAAAAAATTATTCGTCTTAGCGAAATTTTAATTCAGTATAATTAATGGGTAATTAACACAAAAAAATGTAAGTTATACTTGGTGATTGTGCTCTCGATTACAGCGCTATTTGTGCGGTGTGCGATTGAAAGAAAAACTCACGTATGAATTGGTATTGCTTTATTAACAACACATACACTTGCAACTACAGGCACTCCTCGTTTCAATAAGTGCTCATATTCGATACGTCGAAATGCTTTGTACTAGGTACTACGTCAATAAGCAAACCAGATTGTTACATGGTATTCAATGACTCGACGTTCTACTTTTGTATCCACCATTGCAACTTCGTGCGTTTATTGGCAGTTTTATGTTGCATACCCATCGATTTCGTAGATAAGACCAGAAGTGAGAGTAGCATGGGTAAGATGACATTAAAAAATCTTACATGCAAGGACGTTTCAGGCAGCCCAATGAAGTGTCTTCAAATACTACATCAGTGCACGGGTAAGCTATGGGTGAAACGTGAAATATATTCAATCTTCCAGTAACCTCATTATAATACAGGATTTACACGTTACAAACTTGGGAGAAAACTAACATTACATAGGTATTGAACAATGAAGCTTATGCTAAGTTTAAACAAACTTGGCCAATTAAAATCAAATTAATTTATTTACTAACAATTGCACTCTTTGATGGTTGACTTCTCTGCAAAAGAAATTATATACATAACTTTTCATTCTCTTAAAATAGATCATACAGTAAAAGATTCAACATATTTGGGGTATTATGTCTTTTTTTGATGACATAATAAAGAAAATAAACATTACATTTCTCAAGCCTATTAACCATCTACATAACAGATTTCAAAAATTGTACATAAAATACAACATTTACACTTTGTGAAATATCTTTGAAGTAGATACATCTTACTTTCAAAATAGTAAATACATATTTAAGTATGTACAAATATTTGCAAGACCATTTCAAATCTTGTAGCTTAATTAAAGAAATCTGCATTCTTTTACATAAAATGCATGGACTTCTAAATATACAAATAATATTTCATATTAATTTTTCATAACGTTTGTTATGGCAAGCAAGTTCACAAATAACACGGCAAGATAGTCTTACCTGTAGATGAATTACCTTAGTGGCAATTTTGACAATGTTGAAGACTGTCATTCTAATGCATTGAGGTTATGTTTCACAAAACTGCATTTGTACTACTTTTCTTTAAATATTCTTTAATGCAAATATTAAATACGAAAGTCAGTCTTCACTTGAAGTAAATACTCACTTGTTTGGGTGAAATGCTGCAATCCAGTTCTATTTACAAGATTTGAACGTCTGCTATTAAAAACATTGTGCTCTACTATAAAATGCCATACCGTTCTTTGCGAAAGAATCACTTGAAATTGTCAATAAAAACAGAAAGTATAACAAGCCTCTTTGTACTAAGTTTTCAGTTCCAACTTCTAGAGAAACATACAAAGATCAGTTTTACTGTGTATGTAAATTCCCTATTTAAAACATGCAAAATAAATGAGGAAATATGCTCAGCTTCCACACACATTATCATATCAGGGGATATGCCACTTTTGTGTCCATTGCACTTGTGGAAAATAAATGCTTATAAGGAAGATGATTTTATGGGCAGCAACATCAGAACACAAAGATGTGAAATTAATTAGTAATTCACACTGATCCCAACCCCTCTCAGGGAGAGTCGCTACCTTTTTCACTTTCTCTACTCCTATTACTTCTTGTACTATGAGATCTTTGATTACCAGTTGACTTGTCCCTTTCTCGACTCCTGTCCCTGTGGTGCCCTTCCCGACTTCTCTCACGATGCTTTTCATCGAAGTCTTTATTGTGAGCTTCCCAGTCAGGCCTAGCAGATTCATAACGAGATCGCTTTCTTTCATTGTCTTTATTATCCCAACGAGATCTGTTAGGCAGGGGTGGGGGTGGTGGAGGAGGGGGAGGAGGAGGCCCAGGAGGATGACTTGATCCTCCTCTGAGACGAACAAACCCTCTTTGACCTGGAGGAGCCCCCCGCACAAAACCTCGACCCCTCCCACTAAATCTTCCTCGAACGGGCACTGGCATTTTGCTGTCCCAAGCTTCCCTATTGCTAGGAGAGTCACTCCTGTCCCTTTTAATAACATTCTCATCACTTTCACCATCAGAAAATTTGCGTTTTGTATTTGATGGAGGTCCACAACTGTCTTCAGCATTTGCGGGATATCCACCAGGAGGGGGAGGGAATGAGGAAGAATAGCCCGGAGCCTGGGGTGGTATACGTGCCGGACTAACATAAGAGGCTCCGGGATAGGGATGTGACACACGATATGATGCTGAAATATTAGGAGAACGCATATTGTAGGGTGCTACTGGAATGTTCATAGGAGGAATAACTGTACTAGGACTAGTCACTCCAAATGATGAATATGAAGGGTAGTCTTCATCTTCTACACCTGGCGGTAAGGGTTGGCCTGGGGGTAAAGATTTTGAAACACTTGTTTTCACAGGTGGCACTGTGCCTGATACTGCTGGTAATGAATCCACACCTGGTGGCAAGGGCTGCTGTAAAGTAGGAATGGTCACAGCAATGTTCTGGTCTGTAATACCAGTATTTATTTTTGGTTCAGTCATTTCCATTTCCATTTCTAAAGCTTTCTTGATCAAGTCATCATCAGATAATGTACTCAACGTGCTCCCAGATGCTTTACCAATACCCTCTGATCCACGCTGCCGTGGATCTCTGCTGACTTTAGAATCAACAACTTTAGCAGTAACAGATGTAGACATCACACTCCCACCAGATGCAAGAGGATGAACAACAGGAGTTGACAGTGAAAGTAAGGCAGATGATGCCGACTGGATAATGCTCGGAGAAGCTGTTGTCGGCGTTGATAATCCACTACCAGCAACACTTGCAAACTCTGAAGGGTCTGCATCACTGAAGTCATCTGTCGAAACCTTTGACTGAACAGACTCGACATCAGCTGTTTTTCCATAGTTCTGTACAATTGGATCTGATTTAAGATTTATGCTTTTAGTCCCAGCTGCCTTATCACTTTCTTGTTTCTTTATAGTTGCTAATATTTCATGGAGGTTTGAAGGTAGATTTATGTTTGAAGTTAACTTTGTAAACACAGGCGCAGACCCAGCTTCTGCTGGTCCCAAGAATGGAATTGATGTAGAGGGTGGTGTGAAGGATCGGGATGGACTATAAGCTTCATTTTCATCCCCATCCTCGGGTGCTGCACTTTCTTCTGAACCCAGCATATAGGTTTGCATCATGCTGTTTACCTGCAAGCATATAAACATATTTCAGCAATCCAAAAATTAAATATTTTTGTTAACAATGAAACACGCTTTTTGTGTGCAAACATCATTTTATACATTTAAAATGTAATTATTAATTTATTTTATTATAGTCCATAAATATATTTTAAACAAAGAAATCATTATTTCTAAGAAGTAAATTTTTCTGGGCAAATGTTTAAAAAAAGGTGCATTTCCCCCTCCTGCCTTTCACAACAAACTCTACAGAAGAAAAATAGGGCTGCCCATTGACATAAGAAATGAAAAATTTTCTCACTTTACCAGATAGAATTATATAAATAAAAATTTGTTTTTAAAGAAACTTTATTTATTGAGACGCATTATTGCTGGGCACTCAGCATGGGTCATCATATACTCCACAGTTGAATTGCTTGTCAAATCTTAAAAAGTAAGAACTCTGCTAATGAAAGTTCTAAGTAATAAAAGAAAAAGATAATATTACACTTACTTTCAAAGATTCAGATACTGTTCCTAAAGCAGCAACAGAAGGATCTGAAGCAACAATAGCAGAACTAATGCTTTCTATTTGTTGCTTTTGCTCTTCAATCTTCCGATTAAGTTCCTCAACTTTCCTCTGCAATTCCACAGGATTCTTGGAAGTCACTATCATACTGTCTTCACTGGATTCAACATCATCATCACTTCCACCAGGACTATAGGGTGCATCATCATCATCTTCATCTTCATCATCATCACCATATTGCCCAACAAGAGTTGATAAGGAAGCTTTATTGCTTGTTATAGGTTTGTCAGACACACTGAAGTCATCCTGTAAAGAATCTTTATCCATTCGACTTCTTGGGTCAGGGGTTTTGGTTAGAAGACTGGTGCCACCCAAAAATCCTTGCGGGGAGCTGGGAGGGGTGTAACTGCCACCTGTGTGAGATGGTGGTGGATGGGGTGGAGTGAGGCTACCAAGCATGTCTGCATCTGAACCTGGTAGCGGAGGAGTATAACTTCTCTCTAAAGGTTCTGCTGAAGTGGGAGGGGGAAGTATTCGTTTTGGCATTTTGGCAACATATTCATTTTCTGGTGCCAATCTCTTGCGACGCGCTCTGACCAAAATTCCTATTAAAAGATGGGGTCTATATTCTTCAAATCCAGGCCCCTCCAGCGGCAAGAGGATTTGTGGAACTGGATGATGACTGGCTAATGGCATTATGTAAAAATCTTTTATCATTTTTGAAACATTACCAACAACGCCTAACCGTCCTCTTGTACTCAAATAAGTATACAGAGTTATATAAGGAATTTTTTCTTCATCATTGGCAGCAGTTAACCGTATCACAAGAATTTCTTTTGTGCCAGTTTTTTTCATTTTTGATATGTAATCCCAAACTGTTTTTGGAGCAATTCTTCCAACAATGTCCACAGTATCAGGTAAGTCTTTACATAAATTTTGTGGATCACCTGATACAATTTGCACCGTAGTAAAAAATTTAGCAACTTCAGGCATATTTACAAATCCTTTCCAAACAGTAGTACAAACATTTTTCTCATGCTCTTCAGTATTTATGTCCGGTGTTTTTATGGTCACAGTAGAACTGGGTTCTCTATCAGACAAATCACTGTCTTCTTGAGGTTCTACTTTAGTGCTAGAAAAATTTGACAAGGACTTCATACTAATATCCATTTCATTTTTAGGCTCATCTTTGATAAACAAGTTATCTGAATCTTTATACTCATCACCAAATTCAGGCAATAAAATTTCTTTCTTGATATCTTCTTTCTTTATGTCAATATCTTCCTTTTTATCTTTCCTGGAACTACTACTGCTACTTTTACCGTCTCGATGTCTATCACTATCACGCTTCGATTTTTCTGAATTACGATGTTTATCTCGAGAGCTGCTTTTACTTTTCTCTCTTTCTTTACTGTCTTTCCTTTTATCTCTGTCATGCCTGTCGTGATGACTATCACGCCGATCTCTATCGCTTCTTGATTTTTCACTTTTGTCTTTTCTTTTATCATCATGTCTGGATTTTTCACGATCCCGACTACGTTCCTTATCTTCTTTGTCTTTCTTGTCTTTGGAATCTTTATCTTTGGTCTTGCCCTTGCTCTTGTCTAGATCTGTATCTTCAACAGTTGACGACACTGAATTATTGACAGGAGAAACTAAATCTGGAACTGTAGAAGGATCAACTAATTCTGGGACTTCAACTTTTAAACTTTCATCTGTTTCAATAACTTGTTCACCTTTGTGGGTTTTCATAACATATGTTTTGGCTTGTGACATTAAATCCAATTCAGTTTTCTTGATCATTTCCAGTTGATGTTTTGCCTCCCTTTCACGCCACTGAGCAAGTTCTTGAGATGCTAGTTCCTCCGGAGATAATCGTACAAGCTGATGAGGAGTCAATGATTTATCAGCAATTTTCCTAAAGAGAGTGAGATTTTTACGATCTTTAATATTGAAAACCAAGCTTCTGTATTTGGATTTGTATTTTATTCCCGTGTCTCGGAAGAAAGAATGCATCTCCTCTTCAATGTTCACAGCAAGGTTTTGAACCTCAGTCTCAGGAACATCCAAATCTGAACACTCCTGTATTCTTGCTTGTAGCAGCTCTTGCAGAGTTTTACGAACATTCAGTCTGATAGGTTCAGGACCAGATGGTTTCTCTTTCTCCTCTTCTTTTTTTCCAGTATCTGAAGATGATGATGATGATTGGCGTTTAACTTCAACCTTTTTGGCCACAGGCTTCTCTACTTGTGTTTTGGCAGACTCCTTCACTGTTGATGTTGCAGGAGCTTTTGAAACTATGTTAGTAGGGGGAGTTTTGCTTGATGGGGAAGAAGGTACTTTAGAAACAGTTGTAGCACCAGGAGTTTTCACAACAATTTTTGCAGAAGTGGTAGATTGTTTTGGAGATGCTTTGATGACTACTTTTTGAGGCTGAGCAGGAACAACAATTGGACCTTTGTGAACTTTGGTGGGTAACACTTTAATTGGAGAAGATACTGGAGTAACAATTTTCGGTTGATTTATAGATGATTTCAATGTATTTGCTGTCAACTTTTGCTGCAATAAAATAGTTTTTTGTGGAGTTGCACCAAGTTTTTGAGTTGGCCCTATTTTTGCTTGCACAATAGGAGAGACATTTGATGGATGTGTCTGTCCCACTTTAATGTGCTGAACAACAGTCTTCTGATGAGGAACCTTTGAAGATTGCACAATAGTTTTTGTTCCCTGGGTCTTTGAACTGTAGAATTTATTTGTAGGGGTAAGCCCAGGTCTTACAACTTCAAAGGTAGGATTGTCTTTCAACCATGTCTTCAAATTTCCAGCTGTGGGAGCATTTGGTCCTGCGTAGAAATAAAATTGGTTAATTTCCCTGTTAGCATATTAATAATTTTTATACAATAAATGCACAATTGAAGCTGATCTGTCACTTAAAACTACTTTGTTAATTTATCACAATGAGGAGCATGTACATCATTCAAAAAAAATAATTGTAAGGGTAAAATTTAAAAATGAATAATTCTGTTGTGTTCTAAAAATGAATATCAAAGTAACAAAAATTAACTTTATTTCAATTTAAGAGGCAAAGAAATAGACAAGAAAGAAGGAAACTACTGTTTTGGTAGCGATCAAAGTAACATACAATATCTGTTCCCAAAAAATACATACCCGCTAACAAAATTCCTGACTTGCGTTCAAACACTATCACTCTGGCATCTGGCCGTGTTCGTGGTGGCTGGTTGGCACCTGCGCTGCCACTGCTGCTTTGCCCTCCTTCTGCCTCTCGGGTGCCCTGATGCTGAGAAGGCTGCGTCTCCTGAATGGCATCTCGGCCTCCTCCACCTCCCGTCGACCCTGGAGTGACAGCCTTGTCTCTACTTATACAATTCAGTGATTCCTGAGCATGTTTCAAAATGCAGGCATCACCACAGTAGATGCTCGATGGACGTGCTTCCTTTTTGCACACAATGCAATACATTATTTCTGCATCAGAAGAGCTGTAAATAAAGTTTTGCAAAATAATTTTACTCGCCTCTGATAACTGAAAAGGAACAGAAAATATGTAAATTTACAGTGAAGAGAACAAAAGTAAAAACAATAAAACGGTCAGCAGAAAACAAAACATAAGCACTTGTGGAACTCATTATTGTAATCTTTCAATAAGATAGGTCAGGTACACCACTGCCATATTACTGATTCAGCTTCAATGTAGTAAAGGAGAGAAAAAAAATGAAAAAACATACAGTTAACAAAAACATATACTTGATAATTTTGTGTAATGTTCAAGATAATGTTACTACAGATGAATGATTACATAACCTCACATACACTAAACAATTTAAACAAAAATTGTGAAAAAAAAACTGGTCAGTGCATAGAAAAGCTAAATCTCACCTTCCTTGTGAAATTCCTTCTCCAGAACCAATAACTGAGGTTTCTTTTATTTCTGTATGGACTGCTTCATTTGTTCTTTCAGGAATATCTTTTTTACTATCTCTGATCTTCTTTATATCTTTCTCCTTTTGACTAGGTAGAACATTCCTTTTGGCCTCCTTATCATCTTCTTTCTTTTTTGCACAGTTGGGGCAAGACCATTCAAGACCCTTGTTTTCCATTTGTTTACCTGCTCAACAAAACATGGTTCATCTCTTATCATAATCAAATTACCCATTAATTTTCATGTAATGGTTCATAAAAATTGTTTTTATAAAACAACGAATCTCTAATTTTTAAAATATTTTTCTGGGCCATTTATGCTATCTGAATGATACTCCTAAAATAATAATGCAAAACTTATATTTTCTGTCGTATTGGTTAGTGTCATTTTTATTTTGAATTTCTAGTGAATACCGCATTTACTTGAATATAAGGGGAAGTTTTTTATTAAATCTCTCGGTCGAAAAATGCTTGTTATTTTCGCAGATTAAGGGTAGTAGGTTAGGCTTGTTTATATATAGCATTTTCATGACATGATACTCGTAAATGTTGACGTAACAATAAGCTGCGACGAATAACGCGGGAATCTGTATTACGTTATATTCGCGGTCGTTTTCTCGGAATCCACCGCGATTTTGCCGGGCAATTCAGATCGATGTTTTTGAATGGGCCGATATAGAGAGAAACTCATACAAATGGCATTGCTTCAAGTGAAACAATGTGAAAGAACATGAATGATGAAATTTTGCTACCAAATGCGAATTCGACGAGGCCGCATCGGTTCGACGCCCGGCGAGTGTGAATATGCGGTTTGCAAGAGAAGGAAATGAAAAATATCACATGGATAGACGTACAGGATAATATCCAGCCACAGAACAGGATGATTTTTTTTAATAGCAAAATCTTCCCGAAGTTGGGAACTTGCCGCTACCTCCCTCTTTACCATATTTACCTTTACTCCCGAAACAGAGGGCAGTAGAGTCTGCTTCCAAAAAATTGCAGACAAGCGGGGGAGATCAAGTAGTGTTTTTTTAAAAATTACAATTAAATTAAATTATGAAACAATTTACTTAGATTTAATTCAAATTTCTCAGTGAATTCACAAATACGCAGAATTTGTTAAATTAACTGAAGTGTTTGTGTTTTATACTGGGAACTGAAGGTCATTACTAATGATTAACCTAATATTACTTATTGATTTAGGTGATTTAGAACACAGCAGTATTTTTTTTTTTAAAGTTTATAATACTTCAACAAAATATCTGGTTTGACAAATTCATATGTGTACCACCTAATCAGGCTACCTAATCAAGGTTATGAGATTGCTGGATGAGATCAATCATATCTAATTTTGCTAATTGCTAAGAAATAAAGTGTGTAGCCTTCCAGAATTTTAATTATCATAAATAACAAAATTTAATTTAAGTATTTAGGAATATTTGTCTCCTCTTGGCTAATATCAAAACACACCTTTGACTTGTCAATAATTTTCTTAGTAGGGAACCTCACTTTCCATCCTCGCTAAATCAAACAAATAAAACTTGTAGATGAAATTCATATCTATAGAAACTTCACTGCAGGGCCATCTGACAAAGGAGTTGGCAAATTACCTTTCGATCAGATTGGCACATGCAGCGTGCTCTGCGAGCCCCTAATAGATTCTCAAATAAGGGAAGTATGGATTAGAAAACCATAGGAATGCTCTGAAACGGAAGAAATAAACGCTGTTTCATTAAAAAATATTTATTAAAATCGTCCGTTACCTGAAACAGAAAATAACCCCCCTGCAAAATCAAGAGTCTGAATGTCACTATTTGAAGTTATCTGCCGTTGGGCCCCGTCATCGGAAAATATTAAATCAAAAGTAGTCTCCACTACTTTTCTGCTTGTTATAATACTGTTCCAAATCAATTTAGGTATCTGCTTAATTAATCTTAATCTACAATCTACTATGTGCCTGTCCACTGGCCACTTAGCCACACGGAATATTTACATGTGTCTTATGGAAAAATCAATCTGTTTCCCACAAAAATGGATGGCCATTCGTCGCGACAACTGCTAAATCAAGGTGGCCATTAGAATAGGTTTCACTGTAGTTAGTACCACCATTTCTTTCAAAATGTCAATTAATGCTTTTTGATCAGAAAACTTAAAATGCTCACAGCAATATTTTAAAATACAGACATACATATGCAGTATGGAAATTTCACAAATGCATGTATTGGATAATGTGTATGTGTGTGTGTGTGTGGGTGGGGGGGCATAAGGAATGTTTTAAATCTTTTTTGTATAAACACTCTAAAGACCTGTCAAATAAACACAAAACAAATTTAGGTGGAAAATGAAGTGAAACATGACATTATTTGATTTCTTTATTCTGCAAAAAGATATGGAGAAGAAAAAATAATTCAAGTTGGACTGAAATGAGTCTGTGTCAATGATGTCACAGTACTGGGAAAGCATCTTCCAAGGAATTAAGTGAAGAACTATGTATATCTGCTTCTCAAAACAGACCACGATCTTTTCATTGTTACCTCTAAATGTCAAAACAATCTCATTAAAACTGGCACAATGAATGACATGAAATTATTTCAGGTTATCTTATATTGCTTTCAGTTTTCTCCCATGAGATTTCTTGCATGTTAAATTGTAGTAAAATTCACAGAGAAAGAAAGGGAAATGATAGATGTGTATGCTATTTCAAAGACTGCCTAGTCAACATCACAGCTCATCAAATATTAAACTTACTTTCTGAAACTTATATAAAATGCAGAAAAAACAAAAACAATACAGAATATAATCCACAAAAGAAACTTACCCATTGCTTTAGTGACTCCCACACATTTACCATGGAACCAATCTTCACACACATCGCAACAGATCATAAATCTATTATTGTGAGGCTTCTTGCAAATGCACCACAATCGATCTGGATCATCTTCAGAATTCCAACTTTCATCATCAGAACTTGGTAAATCTTCATCATCATCCTCATCCCCAGACTGCCTCCTACACAACAATATTTCATAGGCATTACTTATTGGCACCAACTGACCAAACTTTTTTATTATTTTCTAAAATGTAATACTCGTTTAATTCTTAATTTTACAATAGTAAACATGACGATCAGTTTTAGGAAATGCATGAAAATTCTTTAACCAGTATTTTTATATATCAGAGCTGAATAGATATCTTTTTAATATTAGTATAGTATAGTATAGTTTTATATACATGCAACATTATTATTCTCAGAATAAGTAAAAGAACTATTATATAAGAATACGAGTCAATTCAACCAATAAAAGAAGTGTTTATAAACGTTTTAAACTAAAAAGACCATGTATAAATCACAAACCTTCCTTTCTGCTTTTCTTCTGGGCGTTTCTTGTCCTTGCCTGGAGCATTACCGTGTTTGCCACCTTCCTTCTTTATTAGATTTTCATTCTGAAAATAGTATTTATATGAGTAATTTTGTTCTCATATTAAATAAGTAATTTAATTTTTCTTTTTTTAATAAACATTTCTATGTTGCTACCTGTTGTGTGGCACTAGAACTACTACTACGACGCCGAGATGACCTCTTGACAGCTAGAACCATTTGTGATTTCAAAGTCATGGGTGGTTTTTGAGATTGTTGAGCCTGCTGTTTGGGTTTTATCTCCTGGGAAGCAATGACTTCTGGATCTGGCTCAGCTTTCAAAACTAGAGATGAATTCTGTACAGCAGTGAAAATCTTCTTTCAATATTACTAATACTGAAGTAGATATCAGATGAATAATTTTCCTACTTTGAGCTCTTCAGCTTTAGTTTTTAGATATGTTTAATTAAAATTTCCCTCCATCTCAACCCCAGCTAGAAAATGTTGATGTATAGTTCATAAATATATCAGAGATAAAACATTTCATAAACCGAAATATATTAAGAGCTAAAATAAGGGTTTCTGAATTGTATCATAAATTCATTGAACACTACACTAAAAGAACACTCCAAAAATATATGAACTGAGAATTTCAAATTTAGCTGAAACCATTTAGATACCAATAAAAATGATTTGTTGCAAAGATAATCATAAGTTTCCTTTCAAAAAGGAATAACTAACACTGTAGGAATAGTTACCATTAAAGTTTCAAAACAAAATGGACTTTAGACACAGGATCTTCAAGGTTTTTCATAAAACATAGCTCCATTACTTCCTATGCCTATTCTACAAAAGAAGAGTGCTCAGGAAATGCTGTCATGCAACATCCAATGTTTATGATTTAAAAATCTAAAGTTGGTAACAAAGTCCAAAACAATAAAAGGAAAAAGGCAAGGGAAAAAATGAAGGCAAGAAGACACGTTTTTTTCTCTTTGTCACAAGTATTTCACATAATTTAAAAAAGTGAAACTTGAAAAAAGGATTTCAACAAATTTAACCACTAAAACTTGAACGAAAGATGTCATAAAATTATTTTCATGATGATTCATGTCATTTTCAAAATACTTTACAAGAAATAGATCACAAATACAATTTTAATGGCTTATTTTGTTGAAGTTGGAACACTTTAGGACTAATATTTCATGATTTGAATAGAAACCTCAAAAACAAAAAAAGCGTAGTTCCAAAAGACAATGATATACGATATTTTGAACACAGAAACAATCAATACTATAATATTCTATGGTTCATTATAAAATAAAATGTAATGTTACACAGTACAATAATTTAAGTGAAATAAAAAAGTTAAACAATTTCCTAAAAATAAGTATACTTCTATTTTGAAATTCAGTACAGTATTATCACTCAAAATAAGTGAATTTAAAACTACATCAAAATTAATTCCTCTACCAGTATCAATAAATATTTCACATACATCTATAGCTTTTTCCTCAACTGGATCTTCCGACACAAGCAAGGACTGACTCAGTAAGTCTTCCGTTTTCAAAGTGGTAGTCTGCAGAGCATCCATAACTACTTGATCAACAACATCTTGCATGATACCAGTAGGAACACTCTGAGGATCTGAAATGACATATTTACAGACTTATTTTCAGCTAGTCACAAAATAAAATTACAATGAAATATTATTGAACAGTAGAATAACGCAAAGCCACCAATTATTTCATTTCTTTACTACAAAAATATATTTAATAATCTCAAGCTAAGAAATTTTGAAAGATAATTCTTAACTCTTACAAAAGTAAATTTTCCTAGCAAGCATTTCAAGTCAAGTTATTTAAAATGTCTATGTAACACTTTTTTCAAATTTACTTTTAATTAATAATCTTGAAGCAGATTATTCTAAAATAAAACACTAAGAAAACGAGCAAGATATATCAAATATATGATAATAGGATTGTAAAATAACTAGTACACAAGGAAAGTCAATTGATCAGCACTATCATAAAATACCTTTTCTCTGCAGTTATTTTTTGTCACCAGAAAATGAAACACAAAAGATAAATTCAATGACCATCTTATGATTTTTTGAGGTATTCCGAAAGTTTTCCTGACTTCGTTTTTCACTGTAGCATAGTACAATATTGTCACTATATTACGAATAATACTTCCGTCTACTTGACAGCTCCTGGCTGACAGGGGAGAGGGGGTTCCGTTATCCAATGAGGTTTCAAGTTATGACAATGTCACTTTAGAGTTGCCCATGCTTATTAAGGAAAAACTGAAATTTTATAGCACAAAGCAATTGTAAGTTTCAGAGCGCCATTACTTCTTTCGATATGCATCATGTGTGCGGTTCTGTCATCTACTGTTGTGTGCTCTTGTTGCTGTTTGTTTCTACTGTTGTGATCTGATGAAAGAACGACCACATATCTGCTGCCTGAGTTAAGTGGCAACATTGTTCTACAACCACCCCAGTTGCCAAGTAGACAGAAATATTATTTGCACAATACTGCCCTTTTCCATGCTCCAGATACACAGAAATTCAAAAATAATTTACACATAATACCCATTGAACACAAGCTTTCGAACTTGGGTACCTATTTATATATAAAATAATTATTTTGGAAAATAACTGTAGAAGAATTTATTAGCAATCATCAAAAAAATGATGACTTCAGGAAAAAAACCCTTAATTTAAAAGAGGCCTCCTGAGATTTTATTTCCATATTTATACTGAATATTCCGTTAAAATAAAATCCTAAATTGCAGTTATTGATTATAACATGGTCTTGATAAGGTTAAATCTTTTTGCTTGAGCCATCACTACTTTCTTATACCTTACAATCATCATTGGCTTTATCACTACCATCGTCATACGTATCATTGTGTCTTCCTTTTTTGCCCACCTCCCATATTAAGTCATCCTCTGTTCTTTTAGGAATACAGTAAAGTTTTTTTCATTAGATTTTCCATCTTGTTGCATGCTTGCTCATAGAATGCTCCTTTAACCACCATTAACTTGAAATACGCATTGTTTTGTGTTTGTGTGAATGAATTGTAACCTACGAGCATGTACATCTCTGTGCCTCATGCCTTTGTTAAATGGGTAGTGTAGGAGATGCAAAATTTCCAACATCTGGGAATTTCTTGCTAAGAAAATCATTTTGTCTATACAGCGAATAATACTTCTGTTGACTTGACAGCTGGGAGTGGGGGAGAGTGATGTTGCCACTTACTCAGGGCAGACTATGTTTTTGGATGTAGCATGAGTACTTCTGTCAAGGAGAATTTTTTAATCATGCATTATATTAATTAAATTAAAATAATTTAATTTTATCTTGTGCAAAACTCAGATTTGCACTTGCCAGGCATCAAACCAAAAGCCTGCACTAGCCACATCATCTAACAAGAGTTTAGCAACCATTTTTATTTATTTTTACATGGCATGTCACTTACTAAATACCAAGCATTTGATTTTCTCTCTTTATTGGTGCGTTAAAATATTTGTGGTCACAATATAAAAGTTCTTAATTCCAGAACTTTTACCCTCAGGCTACAAAAATGCAATGTTAAAAAAATCCCAAACAACTACGCTTAATCAGGAAATTCAACCAGCCAAACACACTTTCCGAATAAGATATTTCAAAAAAAAATTATCTTGCAGATTAATAAAGAATATCATTTCCATTTAATTTGAGTTACTAAACAAGGTGATCATTCAGTTATGTTTCCATAAAGAAGTCAGGAAGCTGCACTTCATACAATTTAAATATTTAATAATTAGAGCAGTACATGTGTCACATAACACTACAAAACTCATATTTAATAAGACTATGCTCTCACCTTTCTCTGTAGCTTCAGGAACTACTACTGTAATTTTTTCCTCCACAGCCATCTCAAGAGAACCAGCACCTGAAGCAGACTTGGCTTCTTTCTTCTCCTCTGCAGTCTGTTCATGAATTGGTTTCTGTTCTGCTCCTGTGCTTACACGTCTAATAATGTCAGGGGTTGAAAACAAAGCTGGACCTAAAGCCTCTGCCAAATGTGCAGGTGGTTTGCGATTTTCCCTCTTAGGATAATTTTTTCTTGAATCTCCACCTGCAAGTACTGGCAACGCATTTGGTGTAGTTGGTGTGGTAGGTGTTACAGGAGTGGAACTTACAGGGGTTGCAGAGGTAGGGATTTCAGGAGAGTGACGTTTAACAGGACTTTTCAACACAGGACTCTTCTTTTCAGGTGTTGTTAAAGGGGGATGTTTCTCTGCTTTTTCTGCAGATATACTTTCTAATTTTACATGCACATCTTCCAAACCTAAGTCTGGAATTTTCTTTACACTTTTGCCATACACTTTTAGCATTTTCTTTTTTGAAGTTTCAAGACTAGAAACACTTGAAGTATTGAGCTCTTCTTTCTTAACATGTTTTTCACGAACTTCCTGCGCTGATTTTTCTGCAAGAGAGAGAGCTCTTTCTGGAGATTTCTCCATGGCTGCAACAAATCCAGCCATTTCAGCATCCAATTTCTTCACTCTATCCAATTCTTCAGCTCTAGCAAATCCACGTCCTCTGCCCCTTCTATTTCCACGCCCTCCTCCTCGTCCACCCTCATACACTCTATAACCTCCTCTTGAGCGAGCCCCTCTGCCAAATCGCCCCCGCCCTTTAATTCCACGCCCTCCTCTTCTCCCAACAGTTGGATCCCTGTATTCATCATCGGAGCCAACATCTGATTCTTCAGATTCAGAATCTTCACTAGCCTCCTGAGGAAAATCAGTGAAGTCCGATTCATCTTCTGTAAAGTACGCAAACAAAACAAATAAGATTAGCAGAAACAAAGACAAATGTAAGAAAAGCAAACAAAATATGTCAATACCTAGGAATTTTTTCCAAATTATTGAACATAAAGAGGCTTAATTGATAAAAAATATTATGCATAAATATTTCCACTAAAACTAGTGCACTCCCCAGAAAACATTCATGAGGGTAAATTACTTATTTTCTTAACTAACTACAATGAATAAAACAATTAATCAAATCACCTTTCTGCAACTGTTGAGAAGGTTGTTCCGTAAGAGGCAATGTTGTTGGCTGAGCCCCAAGGAACTGATGAGGAGGCAGAATAGGAGGCATTTTAGCTACAACCACTTTGGCGTTAGTTGCATTTGATAGTTGAGTAGGTACAGATGAAACACCTGAAGAAATATTAACCACATAAATGTCCTCAGTGTTGTGTGTTCCACCTGTTCACTCTAATTGCCAATGTTCCAAAAAAGAAAAATTGTGATATTCATTTCTTTATATATTTGTATTTAATTTAAGAAGAATATCTTCATTACTTTGGTGTTTCTTTTATAGTAGCACAAGTCATACGGACCAACATTATTTGAAGAAGTTGGGTGCAAATACTTTCCCACTGAAAATTTTTGTTTTTAAGAACACTTGCTTTTTTGCTGCTTCTAGGCACATTTATTCTTCACTACTTAGGGATAAATACTACATCCGCTCTGGAATGAGTAGAAGAGGAGAGGGGAAAGGTCACAAATAATAAATCATGGCAACACAATATTTTCATGTAAGTCTGCAAGGTTCACCCCAACCCTATCTTGCACAAGTCAAGCAGAAAAGTTGAGTCTTTGCACAAATTTATCAACAACCAATTTCAAGGAGTTTTAACGGAACTCTTTTTGATGGCAATTAATAACTTTCTCAGGCAAAACAATACTATCACTCTCCTCAAATAACTTTAAGAGTCTATATGCTTTTTATATCATTATGTTTAAGACACATCTTGCAATGTAACTATGACCTGTTGTGAATATATTGCAATGACACTTTTGGTGAGTTTAAATTTGTTATAACAGATTCTTATATTACAGTTTTGACAGATTACAAATTTAATTTAAAGAACTTCAAATTTCAAAATCAGTAAATAATAGGAGCATGAATGGAATTACTACAGTAAAATCCCTTTTTAACACTTCAGGAGACTGGTGGAAAAAATGTAAAAGGCAGGAAAGTTAAAAAACAAGAGGCTAGGAGAGTTTTTACATTCTTTACAGCAACGAAGGTTCTGTTTTTAATTTCTACCCCTTATTTCTTTAGTAGTGAAAGTATTATAATTGTGCACCGAAAAATGACTAATTTGCAACAAAGAAACTTACTGCCAGGCCCTGATAATGAAAAAGTGGATAAATCATGTTCCTATTTATATTACATTACTACTTCTGACACATGGTGTAGCCAGAATTTGTCTTTTGTAAGTCCTGGAAACCAAAAAATCGATTGATGGCAAAACATCTGTTTATTCATGTATGGTCAATGCTAGCGTCAAAACCACCCAGCCGATTTTCTCCAAAATTGATATTCCCGATTGATCTGAACGAACTCATGTCTTTGCAAGTTTACTACAATTTTATCATAGGTAGCACATACTATTATTCATTGATTTACTACATATTGGAGCAGGTTGTATCCAGTTTTTCTGTATCAGTACAGTTTTTCTGTTAAAACAATTGCCAATTTTTGCCGCAGAATTACGTAACTTTCTCTTTACTACATAGATTTCTACATATAATACACACGTATACATGCTAGTAAAAAAGAGAGAGAGAGAGACAGAGAGACAGAGAGAGAGAGAGAGAGAGAGAGAGAGAGAGAGAGAGAGAGAGAGAAGAGCATCCGTTCTAATATCTATTACATGGTGGGACCAACGTAAAATTACGTATATGCAGGAAAACGTTAAATGCATTAACATAAAAACCAACTTTTACTGTCATAACCAATTATTGAAAGCACAAATGATGTCAAAAAAGTCAGTAATGGATCTAGTTAATATATATATACACACACACACATACATATGTATATAATTAATAACATTATTGTTTCACACTGACTCTACAGTATTATTTACTGATGAGTTATTTCAGAAATAGTTACAAAAATTTGAAAAGCGGTTCCTTTGTTTACAATTCCAGTTTTCCAAAGAAAGCTCTCTTGTTACATTGTATTAATTAAATATTACCTTGAATTTGCTGAGTTTGCACTACTTGACCAGCAGCATTCGTCAAGAGAACGGTTTGTGGAGCACCAGTTTCACAAGAGCCAGGCTTCCCTTGTACAGCCACCAATCGAGCACCTTGAGGTACTGCAATTATCTGAAAAACACATACGTTTTAACACTGGTTATAATAAAATATACAACTTAATGAGGTTTCCAGAAATCATACTCGGGTATCATGATAAAAAATTGAGTGCTATATTTACTCGAATATAAGACAATTTTTTTATAATATTTCGTTGAAAAAATGCAGGGTCATCATATATTTGCATGATTATGCCGTGCCGTGCCAGTGAGGATTTACGATTTTACATTGCCTTCATATGATAAAATCTGAACATAAATGATAACATAACAAACTGCGAAGCCGATAAGAATATCATCTGTCTCTGTAATACTTATATTCACAGACATATTAGCAGCATCCACCATGAATTTGCTGGGCTATCCAGTTAGATATTTTTTAAATAGCAGACTATTTAGTAAAGCTAGTACAGACAATCTCAACTAATGGCATTTTATCAGATTGTATTTATCAAGGGATACACCATGTGAAAATTAAAATATTTGGCGAGATTATTCACACAATGCGCCGCACAGCAATCAATGCTGCCGTAGAGTCTATCGATTTGGTGCAAATCTGCAATTCGCGAGAGATAGTAATGAAAAATTTCATGTTGATAAAAGTATACATACTACATCCCACCAGAGCTATCTCCCATGTTAACTCGCAAAACAGAGAATCAAAGATGTACAATTTTGCAGTTCATAGTTCGATCACACAAACTATACAACATGAATTTCAAGTACATTGTTAAGATTGTAAAAGAGCAATTAAAATATCAGAGGACTCGACCAGGAGCAGGAGAGGAAGAAAATCTGGTTTTCAGATAAACATTAAGAACACAAATTCACTGCCAAATCCTTTCAAGATGGGCCTAAAAGTAAAGTCTGATAAGATGAAGATGGTAATGATGAAAAACATGATTATGATGAAGGAGAAGCAAGAAAATAGTGATATCTCAGGAAACTAGTTTTAACATTCTTATCACAACAATTTCTAGCCTACTAGACAATTTCCAATTTCATTTTGACTAAATAGTAAGAATTAGTTGAATTTCTTTTCAATAATCTCAGAAGGCCTCTTCAAAATTAGGAGGGCATATTAAATTTAGAGTCGACTTATATTTGGGTAAAAATTGTAAAATATTCTTCGATCAAACAGCTGAAAAGGGCTACAAGATAGTATAAGTTACATACAGTTATAACCAGCTTTTACATTTCCGCAACTTACACTCTCCCGGGATTTATAACATTTCTTGATCCCATCAGTTTCTGTATAATCTTAATGTTATAAATACCCCACTTTTTTGATAGTTTAATTTCAATTTTCCCACAATTTACAACTGTCTGGTTGCTACAACACTGTCTGGAACTTGCCACAATACCATCTACTTGTTAACAATGCTCAGTGCCGCGCAGGTGTGAAAGCTAGACAACGGGTGTTGTGCTCAAGTTGTGAGCAAAACGCACACTGCGAAGAGCGCACGTGTGCGTTTTGCATATGATACAGTGTTAATCTACAATGCATGTTAACGTAACACTCATGTGACACAGGCGAAAAAAAGGTGGCTTCATAATCAATTGTTTATTTTACACCATACTCCTGCACAATTTCACACTTTCTCATTCTATAATAACTTAAATATCAAAGTATGGGATTCTCCGTACGTTTTTAACTGTAAATTTGTTTCATGAACCCACTTATTTATTATTTCATACATAAATTTGAAAAATACTAGTTGGAAATCAATACGAATTGCTGAAACTAACTTTTTATTGAGTTAGGGAAAATGTAATCGTACCATTTTTTCTTACAGTAGAAATACCAGTCCTTCCTTCATCTAACAATTCATTGTTGATTCATCAGAGGCTACCATCAGTGGGTGGTGGGAACTCAGGAGTGTGTCAAGGCGACATTTCAAATTCACTATGTTAATTCGCCTTCAATTTTCAATGTCGCACATTTCAGTCAGATTTCTAATTGTCCTTGTAATATTGTTTGTTATATAAACCATATTATAATCCTTATTGATTGGGTGTATCTACATACATTATACTGGAGTTTACTACTCAGTTTTGATGATACAAATAATTTCTATTTACACTTCCCGCAATTTACACCATTTTCCCCTATGATCTCATGAAAAGTGTACATGAGGAGTTTTAATTAACAGGAATTTAATTAACAGGAAACATTCAAGAGAAATCATTTTTAATCCAGCTGGCCGACATGGAGACTAGCAAGTTAGATATTTTTCCCACAATGAAGCAGCCAAAGAGGGTCTGCTAGAACTTATTAAATAACAGCAAGAGAACTATGGTAAATCACCAATAGTACTGCATATTGAAGAAAGAAATGTATGACCTCTGTAAGTTCTTACTAGCCCACAACGTGTGGTTTTTGAGCAAGTTGATGATTAATTATCTCAATATGCAAACACATTCATGCAAACACATTCATACAAACTCAATACACATACACACACACATTTTAAATTCAGATTTGAAAATTCACAAAACTTTTTCAGAATTAACAAAATTTGAGAAATCAAATATCCTCTCTCCAAATTAAAATGCCCATTCTAAAGAAATTACCTGCTTCTGAACTTGACCAGGAGCAGAAGTACGAACAATTGTACCACCTGGTACTTGCCCAGTAGCTGATGGTGCTGCTAGGACAAGAGGTCGCACAACAGGCACCATAGTGGCCCCAGTAGGGGTAGTGCCACCAGCAGCAGAAAGCGGAGGAGTTATCTGCTTGATCTGCTGCACCATTATCATGTTGCCAGCTCCGGTTCCTGAGACAAAGGTGCCCCCCCTCTGAATCTTTATGCCACCACGTCCTAACCCACCACGAGTCATTCCACGCACAGTAGCAGAAGTAGCACCCCTTGTGGAACTTCCATCTCGTCTTGGCCTTCCTGGTCGCCCCTGCAACAAATTAGATTGGTTCAAATCAACATGTTTATGCTTTAAATATTTTCTGCTGTGTTCGTTTTTGACATTACACTGTAATGTATTATTTAAGGTACAAACAGATATATAGATAGAGGTAACAAAAGTATAAACAAAATTCACTCTGCTCTCTACAACTTAACTCAGAACTGTTTAAATATCTATCCAGGTGCCACGTCAACAAAGCTCAAACAGACATGAAATTAGGAGCAAATCAAAAATATGCAGATGAATGAAAATGGCATGAAATTTTTAATTTAAAAAAAATCCCAATAAATTAATTTGCTTGATTCTTTAAAATAACATTTTTGTTAATAATTAAGCAATTTTCCAGAGGTTTCAATAAATCTTAAATTACTTTTCTAGACTTTTCCCTAAATTTCCAGATTTTTGAGGTGCGTTACAGCCCTAATGAAAACAATGAATAAGAATAATTTCTGCAATAAATGCCCAATTTGCTAAGTTTTCCTCAAAACAAAATTTGAATTTGGGTTAAACAATAATCAACTCATCCTCAGCTTCAACCCAAATTGAATACTGAACCCAGTTGTACTGCAACTTCAACAGAGTATATTCATGTTTTAGATCATACAACAATCTGATGAACAAGAGAGTTGCTGATGTCCTTCATGGTATTTGGCAACAGTTCCAAGGAAATGTGAGAGTTAAGTTTTTAACACAAAACACCTTACCCTTCCTCGACCCCGAACTATGGTTTGCACCACAGGTGGCCCCATGCCTGTGGGTATAATTTGTTGCACATGGTCCGCCTGTTGCAATAATATTGACCCATCCTCTCGCCCATTGTTTGGTGGATATGAATGAGTAATTACAGGAGTGACAGCTGGAGGCGCAGCAGGAGCAGTGGAGGGAGATCGATTGGTGTAACAGTGGTCCATAAGAATTGAATCCTTCAGTTGCGTGGCCTCCTCATCCACACTCAGCATGTCTGTAACATTTAAAACAGTGATGTAAAGTAGGTAGCCAAAATATGAAAGTTCACAAAATGGTTATTTCCCTATTAAAATATTTTAATTCATGGAACACAATTCATTATATGTTCAATTCTGAGTGCTTGGTGCAAATTACTAATGCACTTTTTCTTGTTTTACCTCTTCCATGAAAGTGCTCGAACAGTGCACACAAACAGTTAATAAGAGATTTGAATGACATTGTTGAATTGTGAGAGTTCTTGCTTTCAATACAGCAGACAGAGTTTGACCTACAATTAAATTAGGATTTTAGTATTCTTGGCTAGGGGCTTGGTTCCACTGTTCCTAGACTATCACCCCAGGAACCCATGAAGTCTAGAATTTGTTTAATCTGTGTGGCTTCACAGGTGTAGTAAGAGAATTCTGCTAGCGACACTGGGTTCAGAATACATAGCAAATTAATCAAAAATCACAAACATTTTTTTCCGACAAGAGTGTTTACGCATCTTTATAAGAAAATTACATTACATTTCCTGAAACAAATTAAATTTCAAGTGAAAATTAGTTTTGTTTCTCATTTAAAGTACTCTTGTTCCCTCAATACTTCATACATATATTACTTAACACATTTATACCCAGAACTTTTTTTCAGGCTAATTTCTTTCAAAACTTGATATTAGGCTTCCTTTAGAATTCTGAACATGAATGACAAGAATACTTTGATAGAAAACAATAAGAAAATGGTTTTCTGGAATAGGTCGTTAACAACCCAATGGGCATATAAGACTTCATTAGAGAGAAAATATTTTACATTTAATTTTTTCTATAGTCTGTTGATATAAACTTACAATACAAAAAACTTATTAGGAATAAAAAATAAAATTAAATTAAAAAACCCTCTTATTGTGAAGAACTTTGCCATTTCCATGTGAACACCCTTTAATTTTTTTGTCTACACCCCGCTCAGCAGCGTTGAGGTTGTCCAACAATCAACAAATGTCCTGCAGTTTTGCTTGCTGAAAGTGAGATATTATTACCTTTGTTCATTTGACGAGCCAACCCTGGTGATGAATGCAAAACACCATATTTAGCAGCAGAATCTTTGCAATTTCTCTAAGACAATGAAAGTTATATAAAAACGGATATTTACTAGTAGCCACGCATTGTTTAAGGCCACATCAATCATTCAGAAACAAAAGGTGAGAAATACTGGAAGATGAAGAGATACCTGCAGACATAAAAGGAATCCAGTCTGTTTACACTCTCATATTAAAGTAAGATTGAATGATGGAAGCAATACAGACTTTTAGAACAGCCAGAGGACTGAGATGAGTGTGGGCTACCACCATGCCTGTTTAACATTCATCCAAACCACATGATGAAAAAGTGGAAACAAACATTTTAAACGGGTGTAAATTTAAACAAAGTCAAATGGTACAAATGATCTTCTAGGCAGATGACACGATCCTAACAACAGAATCAGATGACTTACAGAGGGCAGCAAATGAACTTCATAAAATAGCTCTAACACATGACATGAAAATCTCGGCAAGTAAGATTAAAGGTATGGCATTCCAAGGCAAAGAAATGAAGAGGTTAAAATTGTTATAGATGGAAAAATAATAGAACAATTAGCAAAATGTATGTATCTAGGAAATATCATTGGAGAAAATTCAGAAGATCAAGAAATTAAAATTCAAATATATATTGGGGTAATTGGAATAATGAAGAAAAACTTTGGAAAATATATGACAACAGAGACGAAACTAAGAATACAAAACATAACATCCAAGCCAATGTTAATGTATGGCTCACAAACATGGATCTTAAAACAAAGAGTGTCAGAGATTGGAAGCCACATAAGCAAGACTTTTCTGGCATCACATAGGAACTACACATCTAGATCGACAAAGAAACACTGAATCCAGAAAAACACTCAGGGCAAAAAATATAGTGGATGACAATCAAAGGAGATGGCTTTCACAAGTGCGAAGAATGCAAGTGGAAAGATTTCCTAGAGCAGCTTTAAAGTTTAAAACCCAGAGGGCGAAGAAATATAAGAAGACCTAACAAAAGATGGATTGATCAGGAACATTTGGAGGAATAATCACCAATCTACTGTCTTAACAGAAACAGGCATTGGACCTACTATCCTGCTGTTCATGATGATGATGATGATGATGATGACTCAGAAAACTACCCTTTTCCACCCTCTATTACCAATTCTGTAACAGGCTATGTTTTGATTTATTTGATCTTCCCACAGTATAATATCCCTGCATATAACACACGTCTTCACAAAACCATCACCACAGAATATTAAAAAAAAAAAAAAATCATTATTTTGATCATTTTTTGCTAGAGCCTCCTGTTGATGGACACTGTGTTTTCAGATAAATTCCGAAAAATTGTCCAAAAGAGTTTGTTGATTTTCTATAAGATGGAAACACTGACACAGAAGAAATTAGAAAATTGTCCGTTTTTCTGTCCATGCAACTGAATACTATGCAAGTCTTCCCTATTGTTATATAGTATCAGGCCTACTGCAGAGTGCTCTTCTAACAGAATCTTTGCATATTTAATCTCCTGAATCATTTTCAGCAACTGAGGATGCATTTACTATGTCCTATCCTCGAAATCTATAGATTCCAGGAATGAAAGAATTTTGTGGGTTCTTAATCCTTTATGGCTTAATAGTGCAAAATATACAAAAGCCAATGCCAGAATATGAGTAAGACACAAGAATTACCAAATCTAAGACAAGATATGACAGTTATTTGCCTACTGGGTCGTTCACGACCCACCACAATTTTATACAGGTACATCTGTCTAATTAGATATTCATAAATAATGATTGCATAATTCAATAGACATACATTTTAGGATTGTAGCAATGCAAAATCATTTGCTAAGTAACTTGCCTCTCAAAAACTAAAAGATTCTTTTGTAGATGGTGTGGAATCTGACAATAATACAACTCGTGTGCATGGAAAGATCCTCAGAAATTCGATTAAGATAATCAAGCAACTGTAGAGATGCAAGAACACATATCAATGGGATATTTAATCATTAAAAATAAATATTTGACACATGTAACACAGCATAAACAATTTTTCTATGTGGGTCGTTAATGACCCAATGGGCATAAATAGGTTAAAATATCCATCATATATTAAATAGTAAGTTAAATAGTAAACAAGAATGGGTCTACTTTTTGGCAAAAACAAACTTACCAAGAGAATTGAACTATCACAAGAGAGTTTATCCACTTTCATCCCATAATTGTGAATATAACAGAATTAAATGTTTGCTCTCGAATAATCAACATGAGTGCTAAAGTGCATCCCGACCTTGGTTAAATCTCAACGTTAACTCTCAAATGCAAAAAGAGGCTGACATATCTATTATGAAGAACATACCTAACATTGCAGTAACATTTTCACCAAGTATTTGTTTGGCTTGTTCAGACTGCAATGCTGTTTCAAGTCTCTCCAACTGCTCTGGATCCATCTCAAGAAATGGATCGAGGGACTCTCCTGAGAACAGAAATCAAAAGACATGCAAATTCACATACAACTGTGCAAACAGATACACATTATAAAAGTATTTCATTATCTTTCAAATATATGAATAAGTGAATCTCAATTTTAAATACACGTTTTAAAGTTGATATTTTTATCCAGAACTAAAAATTTTAAATTAGGAATATCAACAAAGAGTCTTCAAGGAAAGGTTTTCTAAGTCTAATCTCACGGCGACTTATAACCAAGATCTCCATTTTACCTTCAGTAAATCAACAGGGTAGTCGATGGCGCTTGAAATTTCTCATCCCAAAAGACGACACAATTTCACAGAAATAATGAAGTGTGGTTGAATTTGTAAGCAGTTAATGAATAAAATATTATGTAATGTAAATGTAGTGTTTCTGAATCAGTTTGACAAATTCTCAGGAAAAAGGTGAAATTCTTTTACCAGTCACAAGACCCAGAAGCAAAATTTAATCCCATTCAACCGCATAATAAAAATAAATATCAACACCTCAGAGCATTACCCTATAACACTAGGACAAAATTTCACCCTGTTCTTCACCCAACCAAAAGAATATTTGTCCAACAATTTACACAACATATAATTCTTACCAAAATCTACTTCATCCATAATGAATTATATATAGAAATACCAATAACATGGACTAATATGCTCAGACTGATCTAAGGGGCGAGAAGAATTTCAATGTCCTAAGATACCTTGTTACCATAGCAACCATTATCTTAAACCCAGACAATGTATCAGAACAAAATATGATCAATCAAAACATGCCTAAACCTTGTTACCATGGAAACAATTATGCTAAGTGATTTATATTATTTAAAAGGATTGCCTAGAAAAAGCAACACTTGGAAAGTTGGAAGATTCAAAGAGATAAACTAAAATCCAATAGACTTTATGAAGGAATTTTGAGAAAACCAGAATTTGAAATGTTGAATTTAGTATACTATTGTAGTTACCATGGCAACAACACCCCTCTACAAAATGCTACATTTTTTCCTACCATCAATAACAATTCCTGATAATTATTATCCAATTAGTCTCACACAATATAAATACTTCTGGATATCCTTAAAAATTTGAATTTTTGGTCTGAAACCAAACCTCTGTTTACAATTTTCAATTTATTGATTTTACCCCCCCCCCCCCCCAAAGCATCAACTCTAAAATATTTACGAAGTTCTCAAAAGTGGTTCAAAAGAGAATAAGTAAGAAAATCACAGTAACAGAATTATTTTTAAATAGAAGATATACCAAATAATCAAATGACTTTAATATTCTGGCTAGTCCCCTCTTTCAAAAATATTTTTTATTTTTTGACATTTCTCCCAAATCAACATTTAGACTATTTGATTTTTATAACATTTCACCTTATTTAAATGAGAGTGAATTCCAAATTGGGCATTTAATATTCACAAAAAAAATGTATGTAAGCAAATTAAATGCATCCATTCTTAACAAAACTATCTTTATATAGATCAACAGTTGCTCAAAAACTTGAAATTAATGAATTTACTGAATTTTGAATTTACAATTGCTTGAATTTTGACTAACAAATGCACATGCATTATAATGAATGAAATATAGTTTTAACATTCTATAGTAATCAATTTAGAGGGGGACAAAAAGTTATTTTAGATACTATATTTTCCATTTCACTAAAAGTGGAACAATTTATTTACAATTATTTCTAGAAAAAACTTCCTTTTTCATTGATTTCTGAATTTTTCCTACAGTTTCACTAAGTAAATTCAGTGAGCAGAATATCAAAATAAAAAAAAAGTCTAACATACAATTTACAATAACTGATCACCTTTAATTTAAATTACAAGGTAATTGATGGAAATATTGAATTCTAGTGTTTTAGCACCAATCTTTTCCTTTAAAAATTTAATTCCCTATATCATATTTTTCCATGTACCAACATTACCTGAGATTTCATCTTGAAAGCAGTGCATACCTTCAGCAGAACTGGCTGGAGGCACAGCAGTGACTGCACTAATGGTACCAGCAGGAGCAGAAGGAGGGACCATGTCAGAGACCATCTCAACATTGGAAGCAGGAGCTGCCACAGGAGCAGCTGGGGTAGGAGGAGTTGCTGCACTGACAGCAGCAACTTCTCCTGGGTCTGATGTAACAGGGGGAGGATAAAATCCTTCCACTGTGAGATTAACATGTGGGTTGCCATCATTCTGGCTGTCACAAGTTCCACTTGAATCCTGACTGCTGTCATCTCCCTGCGAGGGACCACCAACACGTACAACACTTACTGCTGTATTTTGTTGATTAGCTAAAAAAAATTGAACATTTCATAGCATTATAAAACATTTTTAAAGAAAATGATATGAAATGCAAACAAGCTAACTTCAATTTTTATACACCAAATAAATAACATTTTTTTGATGTCAAACAGCACTATTTTTATAGTATTAATTGTTTTGCTTAATAAATTATTAACTAAAAAATCATCTGAATCTGAACAAATGAAGACATTTTGAACATTTATTCATGACATCCTTTCCACACTAATGACTAAATCCTCTAATTATCACCATTTACCAATTTCAAACACTTTGCTACATACTTTATCCGAACACATGCAATATTTCATTGCAACACAGTACTACAAAGAACATAAAGAAAGAATCAGACAAATCATACCAAGTATATTCTGCAGAGTTTCTTGGTCCACAGATATTGTACCATCATTATTTACTATGATAATTAGAGTGTTGTCAGTTTTGTGATCATCAGATGTATCAGCCACAAACGTACTCGACATTTCAGTGCGCCTATATTGAAACAAATATACAAATTAAGTACATATTTTTTTAATAAAAAACAATGAAGCGCATAATTTTGTCTATGAGGAGAAACATGGCATGTTTATGTCTAAGCATTTCATGTTTGCAAATCAAACCGAATAGATCTAGCAAAGGATAATTAAGAAAAAAGGAAAGGAAATAAATCACACTATTTGCCTACATTTAGGCTGGAATAACAACAATAAATATACAAATACAGCATCGCAACGCGTCAGGTTATAGCCATTCGGCCATATTGGATTTTACCCCAACAAAGCGCATAGAGCGGCTTGCGTCGCAACTTCAAGGACTCCAAGTAGTACGAAGAACACAATTATACCTCTTAAAGGTGCATTAACTTCAGCAACAATGCACTGCGAAGAACAATTCATGCATCACAAATGAGAAGCATTTCTTGATCATAACACAAAATCACTAAATAATCAAAATAACACCGACACCCATCGATACCCCCTCCTCTCATGTGCTTCAGCTTCTTCCCATGATTCTTCACCACGTAAACACAAAATTCAGTTCACATTACTCTTAGCGTTCTTGCAAGTTCTCTGCGAGAGTATTTTACCGGCAAATATGAAGTGACATTATGTGGCAAAACGTTCGAATTTCATACGGAAAAAAATTGTATTACAATTTATGCTAGTGTGATGTTTGTGTTAACTTAAGATATCTGATTAAATGAAATGAAAAATTTCCCTTCACATTCGTCCATACATAATAATAATAATAATAATAATAATAATAATAATAATAATAATAATAATAATAATAAATTATCATAACTGTGTCCAAACTATAATAAATTCAAAAATGAACTGAAAATGTGGTTACAAAACACTTAAATAAGCGAATAAATACTTTGATGAGAAAATGTAATGACTACAGAAAAACAATATTTATGTGTAAACATTGTATTTAGGATAGTTACATAATTATTTTGTGTTAATTTTGGTATAAGTACTAGTATGTGTTATAAATAAGTGACTATATTATAAATAATACCTATGTGATTTAAATATTAATTAAACAAATTATACTGTTATATGTACTGTAAGTATATGGACTTAGAGCAAAATTTAAAATGTATAAAAAAGATAAAACTATAATGTATTTTTTCTCAATTTTTTTATTTTGTAAATATTCATAAAAATATTTGAAACGTTTACCACTATGTTAATCGTATTATAGATTATATCACTGTAAAACCCAATATTACAATTGTTACAAATAGGACTTTTATGTTTTTAACTTATCATTGAATTATTTATGTTAAATTATTACATAAGAATAGGTTTTATGTAATTATGTTATTATGTTAGTTAAAATTATAGTATGCCAACATTATGTATTTAAAGAAGAAAATACTGTACAATTCTGATATAATGGGCACCTGATGTTAAGTCAGTTTGACTTATCAGGACCCACAATTTGATGGACAATAAACTATCCTATTATTATTATTATTATTATTATTATTATTATTATTATTATTATTATTATTATTATTATTTTATCTTCTTAGAAGGTGGAATTCCTTTACGGAGACTGGTGAAGCCAGTACTGTCGGACGCCCGTTCTTGGTTTACCGACTAATACCCTAAACCTTCATCTCCTAAGTCGTGATTTCTCCCACGCAGATACCGTCGCTGGAATTACTTCGCGTGGAAGTTTGATTGCAAGCTAGTGTTTAACTCCTCCGCTCCTTTTCCTCCATGATATTAAACAAGTAGTTCTCTATTATAGTCCACTTTTCCTCCGAGTTCAACATCATGTCTACTATGTTTTTTGGAGTTATCACTTGTTGAAGCTTAACGTTGAAAATCTCCCTTTCCGCATTCGATGCTTTGTGAACGACTGAAACAGTGTTTGCTCTGCATCATCAATATCTTCTCGACATTAGTTACATGTCGGACTTTCTTTAATCTTGTAATCATAAAGGTATTTACCAAAGCCACTGTGTCCCTTAAAAGCCTGGGATACGTAATAATTCACCTCCCCAAACTTTCGACCGACCCATCTCTCAGTGTTTTTAATTATCCGATGTGTCCATCTATCTTTAGCGTCCACATTCCACCTTCTTTGCCACTCTTCGAAAAGTAGTTTCCTATCCTCACTCGTAATAGTCTTTCCTTGGGAGGGAGATGACTGTTTACTCGTCAAGCTTCCTGTAACGCGGAGTACGCCCTTTTTCTTTCTATGGCTATCAGATTGATGGGCAGGATACTGACCAATACTAGCACTGCGCAAGCAGACACCGTACGGTAGGCAGCCGCCACCCTCAGGGCCATTCTCTTTGCACTTGAGCATACTTATTTCTTTTAACCTGTTTTTCCAACGAACTCGCCCAGACGGGTGCTGTATACAACAATCGTGAATGAACTACTCCAGATATCACTCTTCTCTTGCCTTCTCGTGGTCTAACTACATTCGGTAGTTTTCTTGCACAGTTGGATCCTGTCCTCGCTGCCTTTTCGGCCATCACATTTATGTGCGGCCCAATCTTGTCTGTGGTCTATCTCAACCCCTAAATATGTTATTTGGCGCTTCCAGTTCATTCTCTCTTCTCTCAGTCAGATATCTGGAAAGCGAAAAGCCCTTTGATCGGTAATTAACACAGCTTTTGTTTTTCCTACTGCTATCTGACGATGTCGTCTGTCTAGCCATCTTTTAACTCTATAAAGTCTTCATTCACTCTTAGTTCAAGCACCTCAGTATCATTACTATGACTTATTATTAGTGTATCATCCGCGTATCCTATAATCTGCGTATTTTTTGGAAGGTTAATACTCAAAATTCAATAAAAAGGGGCCAAGTCTGGACCCTTCTGGAACTCCGCACGACATATTTTCTTCAATCTTGATGTTAAATATGATTAAATTATCTTCCTTTCATGAAGGTAGTTCTCGAGGATCCTTAATAAATATTCAGGGATTCCCATATCAACCAATGCTTCCGTAATGTCCTTCCACCTGGCTGAATTGAATGCATTTCTAATATCAAATGCTGCAAGTGCGCAGAATCCCTTCTTCCTCCCAGTTTCATTTCTAGCTGCATCTGCGATGCGAACTACTTCTAAAATCGCAAACCGTCGTCAGTGGACTCTGGTCTGCGCAGTAAAGTGTGGTCTGCGCTGTAAAGTGTGGTCTGCGCAGGGACTTGTGGTCTGCGCAGTGAATTGTGGTCGGCACAGTGGACCGTGGATAGTGCCGCGAACTGTGCGATAATGTTGAAAAAGCGAACAGTGTAAATAAATAATCAGAAGAAGTGAACTGTGTAAATTAATAATCAAGAGAACGGAATCGTGTGCAAGAAAAATAATCAAGTGAAGAACACAAGGACTGTAAAATATTTGTAAATAAATCAAGTAGTTTTAGTGTATAATTCTTTACGAATAAACTTCTTTGTTAAATATTACCTGAGTGTGTTTTAATTCACCACGGAGAAACGTTACAGTATCAAGAAGGCACAGTGTTCTATAGAACGATGTCTATTTCAGCGGTTTCTTGCCCTTCCGGAGGAGTATCAGCTTTTATTTCTTCCAGTTCTTGTAAAATTTTCCATCTTAAGGCTTAAGACATCTATTATAGGCTACCAGAAGGCATTCTGGATGTGCTTGTACCACTAATTTTAATATATCGGTGGGGTTCCCATCCAAACCCGGTGCCTTCCCAGTTTTCATATTCTTCACTGCTTTTCGCAATTTGTCTGTCGTAAAGCTACCAACATCATTGAACATAAAATTATTCTGTCTTTACCTCACCCAGGAATCTCTTGTGGGAAAGAGCTCTCTAATAGCTCCCTTCATCCGCTTTGGGTCATTCAGGTAAGATATTTTGGGATCCATCCGAAACTTCTTAGTCACTATCTTATACGCCATATCACATGGTTCATTATCAATCTGCCTTACAAGTACCTTCCAACTTCTACTTTTACTCCTTTTAATTTCTTTTTTAAGTCGCTTACGCTGCGCTTTATATTGCTCTCTAAGGTATAGGTAGGTCTCGGCTCCTGTCGCCATTCTTCTAGCCTTCATGCAGCTCCTACGTGCTTCTGATATTTCCGAGGTTCACCAGTACATTTGTTGTTTATTCCTGTTGCCACTGCTTTTAGGCATAGACGTATCACACACTGCTGTCACTATTTCTTCCGTTGTCTTTACAACATCTTCGAGTGTTTCCACTTTATTTGTGCAACCCATGTTCACCAGTAACGTGGACTTTTCCAAAAAGCGTTTTGCCTTATCCTCATTAAGGTTTTGGTAATTCCAATATGGCCTTCTTTTGTATCTCGCCTTACCATATTGTGGTCCCATTGATACTACGGCATACCCTATGTATCGGTCGTCACTCAAGGTTTCCTCATCCAACACCATCCAGTCCGTGATACCCTTAGCCAGTCTGGAAGTACTTATTGTCAAATCCTATATAGTTAAAGTATCTCCCCGTTGGAAAGTGTTCTCGTTCCCAGAGTTTAGAATGATAAGATCGTTTCTTGCTACAAACTCACATATAACAGCTCCTCTTCTGTCGGAGCTCGTCTTCCCCCATTCCGACGATTTACCATTGAAATCGCCTGCTATCAAAACCTCGCCTTTCGTTGTTTTCAGACTTGCCTCTAATTCGTCGATGTCTTTTTGAAATTTCTCTAATGTATCGTTCGAGGAAAAACTAACAGTTATAAATTCTCATATTATTCACCTCAACTCATACTTCGTCCTCTTATATTTATTGTAGCGTCACGGCTTGGCAGCAGCCGAGTGCAAGGTAGAGGGCTGGGGGATCTAAAGATAGAACAAAGAAGGGACCTTCCGACAGGAAATGGTCCGCGGGCCAGGCAGCGCCAGGGAAAGGCTTTCCACCGCGCGGGGGTGGGGAGTAGTGACGTAGGAGGTCAGGTGACCTGGACCTATAAGGACGCCGTGGCGAGACGGCGCGAGTGGGTAACGGTTTGGTTTCCTCGTGGCTAGACCACAAAAACTTTGTCCGCCCAGGCTGGTGCGGAGTGCTGAGGGCACGTGGTTGTTCGACGAGTTCGGACAGGGTGATGTGTTCTTCAAACACATTCGGGCGGATCGTCAATCTGCCGGGGCACACCAGGTGCCAATCTACGACGCGGCCTTGCCGGCTGGTCGTAGGCGCCGCCGCAAGGCGCATGTAGGGAGAGGAGGGCTGCAGTGGTAGCTCTGGCAAACCGCCTTAGAGTGAGGGTTGTAAATATGTACAGTGTGTAAATAAAACTTGTATATACTCACTCGTGTCTGTTTCCTTGTGGTGTAGATCCCTACACACGACGTTACATTATTAATACTTAGCTTCCTATTATGAATTACTATACCCGCTCTTCTAGTGGTATCTCGATAAACATATTCTCGCAGTAAGGTTGCTCACTAGTAAGTAACACGTCCACCTCCCTCTCTGCAGCATGAAGTCCCGCGCCTGTTTACACCTCCCCAATCTAATCTGAAAGAGTCGAAACATACTTGATATTTTTT